CCCCCCCCCCCACCCCGCCACGGGGGGCTCGCCCAGCCGCGGTGCTGAGTCATTGTGCGGGGCGGGCGGCGCGGTGTTCCCTCCCTCTCCTCCCCTCCGGCGGCTGCGGAGGCCCGTGGGAGCCGCGCCGCGCGGGCTTCTCCTAGGCCGCGGTGGCGGGAGAGGCCCAGGCGGTTGCCCTTGGGCTCCGGGTTACCGCGTGTGTCGCCCTGAGTGCCCCGGCGCGGGGCGGAGAGGGGGCGGGAGAGCGCTGGGGGCGGCGGTGGGGAACGTGTGCCCTCTGCCCCGCTCCGGGGTGCGCGGCTGAGCTCGGCGCTTGGAGCCCTGGTCTTCCTGCGGAGCTTGTTTACCCCTGTCAGAGCAGGGCTTAACGCAGCCTCAGGGCTTAGCACACCTCCAGTACTGTGTCCGGTTTGGGGCCCTTATCACAAAAAAAGACATTGAGGTGCTGGAGTGGGTCCAGAGAAGGGCAACGAAGCTGGTGAGGGGTCTGGAGAGTAAGTGTTATGAGGAGAGGCTGAGGGAGCTGGGGTTGTTCAGTCTGGAGAAAAGGAGGGGGAGGAGAGACCTTATTGCTCTCTACAACTACCTGAAAGGAGGGGGTAGAGAGGTGGGGGTAAGTCAATTTTCCCAAGTCACAGGCTATAGGACAAGAGGAAATGGCCTCAAGTTGCACCAGGGGAGGTTCAGGTTGGGTATTTGGAAAAATTTCTTCACTGAAAGGGTTATCAGACATTGGAATAGGCTGCCCGGGGAGTGGTTGAGGCACTATCCTTGGGGATATTCAAAAGATAAGTTGACGTGGTGCTCTGGAATATGGTTTAGTGTTGGGGTTTTTTTTTGTTTTATTATGGTTGGACTAGATGATCTCAAAGGCCCTTTCCAGCCTAGGTGATTCTGTGATTCAATTGACAAATGGCCAGAGCCCTTTTGAGCACTCAAGTTGTTTATACTCAGTGAAGAAGTTGGGGCTGCACACAGGCAGCGCTATGGCTGTGGAGGAGGAATGACTTTAGGGTTACTTTGTGTTTCCAAATGGAAGTACATGACAGTTCTCAAAAGCAAGCAATCTGTAAAAGACATTCCTTTTGCTTATTGATACATAATAGAGTATATTTTAGGTGGCCAAAAAATGCAAGCATTTGGTGGAGTGTTGTATTGGCATACAGAATCAGTTAATGTAAGGTAATTGTTCATGTCTTTGTAACTGAACTTGTAGTGGAGTCTCTAGTGCTTGTTGTTGACTATGAAGCTTCATTTGAACCAACTACATTGAATTCTGTAGTCATTTTGCTGATAATAAACTCTTTCCATTAAAGGGTAATGGACCAGTAAAAGTCACTGGAAGAATCACTGGCTTGGCTGATGGACAACATGGTTTCCATGTCCATGAATTTGGTGACAATACAAATGGTAAGATGTCTGTCTAAGCTTTTGAGTTACAGCTGTAAAGTTATTGGTCAGCTTTAAAGAGCTTCTTTTAGTGTTGCAGCAGCAACTAGTGTAAGACTTGGGTACAAATCTGTGTTAAGAAATGACATTTCCTAAGGAACTGCTTTCAGTTTAATACTTTGAACATGTTTAGGCTGGTGTTCAAGAACTGCTGCATCAAGCACTAACCTAAATACTTTAACCTAGTCTTAAGAAATAAGCTTTTGGCTGAGCCCAGAGTGTTCTAGAGTGAGTAATCTTACTTTATTGGACTTTTACATAAGCCTGTAGTAGGTAACTTACTTCCAGGGGGTTAGTAGAACATCTAACAGGAGAGTAGCTATTTCATCATTAGTGAGTTCACTTCCTCTGGCTATAAGAGGACTACCTTGCTGAAGTGTGAAAGCAACAGATTTAACTGGCTACTGGAAAAAAAAAATCTACTTTTGATGGCTGTATTCTGTTTCAGGGTGTATCAGTGCAGGTCCTCACTTCAATCCTGAAGGCAAGCAGCACGGTGGACCAAGTGATGCAGAAAGGTGGGTTTTGTGTTCCCAGCCTCTTGCTGGGTAGCTACTCCATGCAGTGGCCACATAAGTGCTACTTTGTGCATGGGAGATATCTTAATGGATAATTCTAGGACAATACCAGAGTAAAACTGGTAATTCCTGCAGGACTTCTAGGGTCACTTAACAAAGGCTCTGTTTAGCGGGCAGTGATTTGTTAGACACCTTGGCTCCAACAGTCTGGGTAAAATGTAGTCTTTGGGACATATTCTTGGTTTTATCATAGCTTGGGGATAAGAGGAAATAAAGGCAAGGCTCTTAGTGAGCGAGGGTTCCTTAGGGTATGAATTGGGGAAGTTCATTTATTAGAGCTTTACTTGGTGGTGTGCTTCTGCTTTGAGGCCAACTTCTTGAGTGTGCTGGGCTGTTCTTATCCTGTTAGCTTAGGTACTGTAAGAATACACCTACAGAATGTACTCAGGGGCTGTGTCGGTACAGGCTGAATACCTCTGTACCTCAGTGAGAGCTAAGACCTAGTTCTTCCCCTGGAATCAGTTTTTGTAGTCCAGTTTACCTTCAGAGAATCCTTGCATATTTGAGATACGATGTCTGAGCAACTGGTTTAAATGGTATATTGACTGGGTTTGGAGACTGGCAGGGGGCTGCACAAGAGCAGAAGGCCTGTGTGATAGTGAGTGGAGCCAGGAGCAAGGGTAAAAGATAGGCTGGTCTTGCACAGGTAGGGTATGGAGTAGCACTGGTAGTGACTTGGCATTGTTATTAGCCTTTGAATGTTCACATTTATGTCCATTACTGCACCTTCTGTGACTAATAAATCCATACCTGCGTGATTGGTTGCATGCCAGACCAAGCAAGCTGGCTGCTAGCCAGCTGCCTGCATGACAGAGCAGCACAAAATGGTGTGCTCACGGGCTTCACTGGCAGCCAACTGCTCCAGTGATAAAGGTCAAAATTGCTTGAACATCATGGCTTCTGCTGCTTTTGCTTTGTTAAATCCTGCTTCTGGTGTAACCTACCTACTTGGGCAGCTTTAGGCTGGGAAATTCCTTAGGAGGGTGTAAGAACTAGGTCATGCTTTTATCAGTGTAGAGTTGAAACAATTGGACTGAAGCTTTCTGGAAGCTAAATCAAGCAAATTCCCAACCTTGACCTGATTTTATAGGGCTTGGTTGAAAGTATGAAACTGGTGCTATACTGTCTAAGAAGCTGTTGATCAGTGTTCAGTGAGTTGAGCATGCATGGAGGGTTTTAGAAACAAGTTGGTATTCAAGGTTCTGAGTCTGGATAGAAGAGTCTTGCAGAACATCGTGTCTTCTGAGTGAATTTTTTTTTTTTGGGCCAGGTGTGTAGGAAACAATACAGTGGAATGTCCAGAAGTTCAGTGAGGCTTACTTCTCAAGGGAAGTCCTAGTGGGGATGTAGCTCTGATTAAAAACTGTGTGGTAGGGTGTAATGCCAAGTGTATGGGGAAAATGCCAAGCAAACTTGAATAGTTATCACTGGTACTGATTAGCACTTAGCTGGCACTTTGGTCACCCTTTGACCTGTTGCTTGACAAACTGATTTTACTAATCCTATTTAAATGTAAAGCCTGCAGCTGCTTGTGGAATAGCTGATCTGTGATAGACATTAAAAGCTCTGAGGAGTTCACACCAAACCTTGTATGTGTAGCAAAGGTTATTTTGCCTAATTTGAGAGACTTTCTTGGAGCAAAGAGAGATGGCATCAGCGTGGAGGAATTCTTGGCTATAAGAGATGTGCACTGTTGGCTTGGCTTGTTAGGGAGTGATGGCATTCTTTTCCCCAAAGTTGATTACCCTTTCAGTTTCAGGTTCTACCTAGGGCTGAACTTTAATCATCCCTTGAACTGAAGGAGTTAAAATAGTAGAAGTGTTCAAGATTGGCTGGTGGTGGTAAATGAGGACATATGTGCTTTTTAAGATAAGTTGGAGAAGTACTTGAGTGTAGTAACTGTGGGTATTGTGTTGTCCAGGCCATCACTTAGAAGAGCTTTCAATTCAACCGAGTTTTCTAAGAGTTTCATTGCATCTTTGTGTAGGCACGTGGGAGACCTTGGCAATGTGACTGCTAAAGGAGGAGTGGCAGAAGTGGACATGGAAGATCCCGTCATTTCTCTTAGCGGGCCACACTGCATCATCGGACGTACCATGGTGGTAAGTGTCTTCGTACCTTCTTGCATGCTTTAAAGAACTCTAAAGCAGTCTTGACAGCAAGTGGAGGCTTTTTGATGCTGGACACCAGTCACTGGTGTTTGTTACAGAACTTGTGCAAGATTTTTAATGCAGGGAGTTCTTTGAAGCCCTGTCTGAAAATCCTCTGTGTATTAGTGTAGTATTCACTGCTGGGAGATCTTTCTGCCTGCCTTCTGCAGGTGTTCCTCTCCATTCAACTTTGCTTCTTCCAGCTGTGATTAAAGCAACCTGATGAGAGGAAGGAGCTGCCAGTCTGGCACAGATGCTGTCACTGAAAAGCGTGGCAGTGGGCCCGTCAGGGCACTGCTCACTAGTGCTGCTCTGCTGTGACTTGTGCCACGGCATCCCCGGGAAGGAGGGAGGCAGAGGCTGAGTGGACTTGGCCACCCATCAGCATTGTCAGTCTTATTTCCCTTGGGATTTCAGGCTGTGTCGAGGTCACTGTACAGGCTTGGACTGGGCAAGGAGGAGGGAGATGTGTCATGTAGGATTTGGGATGGGGTGGCCGAGGCACTGCACCTGCAGTGCTGCTCTCAGCCTTGTGTTGTAAGGGTGACCTTGAATGTGAAGTCCAAGCCTGCTCTTGCACTTGTAATGACTTTCTTTTTTTTTTAAAATTGAGGGTTTGGTGACTTCCAGTTCCAACAAGTTCAGCTGAAGGCAGCTTAGCTTTTTAGACAAGTCCACTCTTAAGTTTTTAGCATGAGTACCAATTTGGCATTCAGTGTTGCATAATTACAATAGGTTTTCTGTTGTGTAACACACGCCCTGCTGGTAGCTGGCAATGCTGCTGGTGCTGCAGCTGCTCATGTGAACAGTGGAAAAATGTTAACGAGTTATGCAATAACATGAATTAAGATATCTTCAATTCTCTTTTAGGTCCATGAAAAATGCGATGACCTGGGTAGAGGGGGAGATAATGAGAGCAAAATAACTGGAAATGCTGGCCCTCGTTTAGCTTGTGGTGTAATTGGAATAGCGAAGAGCTAAGTATTGTACCTGAAATGCTTACAGCGAGTGATAAATGGGCTGTATTTCATTGCAAATGCTGTACTTGCCCTTCCTTGTGCAAGCAAAAGATTTACCACTTAATCTCATTACTACTCTGCATTCTGAGTATCACTTAAACTGGTGAAGACTGACTTAATTTTGTATGGTGTATATTGCAATTAAAGTGACCCTGATGGAATGTCTCTCTAGTCTTCTGCTAAAGCATCTGCTGTAACCATCAAGTACAACTTCACTATCTAGAGCTCCCGTTCTGTGTAATGGAAGATGTTTAGTAGTGATTGTCTCCCGAGCGCCAGAACTTCTGGCACATAGTGTGATTTGGAGGATTAGCCTTACGTGCTTTGGCAAGACTCCTCACCAAAGAGCAGTAGGCACTGCATGTATCAGGGCTTTGTCCTGGCAAAGTTGCAGCATTTGTAGGTTTCACACTTGTGTAATAAACTTGCTGGGCAAATACACCTTGGTCTTGCTGTCTATAAAAAAAAAAACCAAACCCCTACCTGCTGACTTGCTAACATGGAAATGTAGGCCTGGATGTCATCATGTTGGTTGTTAATATGCTAGATGTCACCAGCATCCAACAAGTTGCTTCTAGCCAGTAGCCCTGAAACAGCTGAGACCCGAGTTATGTTCCTTGTTACTCATGTTGTGTGTTTTCTTGTGACAATCCCATGTTCTGGGGTAACAACCCAACACCCTCTGCACGTTACAGCCAAGGGGTTTCTGTACCTAAAGACAACAGCTGCTTTCCAGAAATACTTTTTTGCTGTAAAAGGTCGTGGTGTGTGACACTTGTGACACTTGCATGTGACTGCGCAGTGTGTATGTGCAAGTGGTGGGGAAGCCTTGAGCACATGGAGTGGTGTGGCTCCAACATGTGTCCTTGTGTCTCGTCTGGACCTCTGGCTGTGTGGGTTGGGTGGTTGTGGACTGGTGTGTGGTAGAAGGTGGTGGACGTCTGGATGCCTTGGTAAAGACAAAGCCTTTCTTCAAGCTATGCAGGGGCGTCTAGTGTGGAGTAGGACTTTCCTTGAAAAGGATATACATAGCCAGAAGTTCCGTATTTAATTTCATAAAGCTTTCCAGCAGTGTAATTGCTGTGTGCCAGTGCCAGCTTTCATTATTTTCTTATATGTACCTCTTAAACACAGATGTCCAAGTCTTTTAATACAGAAAATTATTAGTTTTAATGAAGACTTGTATCAACATTCCTTTACCTTGTACATAAGAGATATTCATGGAAGTAGTTGGCTGTAGTTCTAGACAACCAGATGGCAGTGTGGCATGTTACAGATGGAATGGCTTTTGGTAGTATAGCAAGAATATTGTAAAAACACTTCAAACTTACATTCACTCCAGGTGGCAAACGCTTGTGTGTACAGTCTCTACCCACCTGTAACTCTTCCAGTGGATTAGTCTGTGCTCTGATTTAGCTGCTGCACAGAGTTAAGATGGTGACTGCACCTTTCAGCTCCCTTCTTGGGTATCAGGGGGGTGCAGAACACTGAACATGCACAAATACCACCATCACCTCTTTGTGTTTCAGAAGTTCAGAGGACAGTTGGGTTGCCTGTCTTCTCCTTAAGGGGAAAGGCCAGCAAGTGTGTGACAAGCATAGGTGGAGCTCTGGCAGCTCTGCCTGCCTCTGCTCCCAGCTGTTCTCAGTGCTTTGAAAGCCTGGTGTGTGAAGATCTTGACTTTCAAACCTGTTTTCCCTTGTTGGGTTAACTGATGGCACACTAGCCTCTTAAGCCAATGCTATATTGAAGGATGTATAAGTAATGTTTGGTTTATGTACAAACAAATCACTGTAAGTGGCAGGCACAGGCTCCGTAACCAAGGTATTAATTACTGTTGTCACTGTAGCCTCTTTATCAGCAGCAGATGCTTACACTGAGTTAATAAATCTTTTGGTGCAAATTTCTGGCTTCTTTTAAAGCCAGAAATGTGGTAGTTGTAGAAGGGTAGGATAGAGTTGTACTGGTGATGCTGTGAAGATGATGCATCCCCAGCAGGTTTATGATACAATTACTGGTTTGGAAACTGTTCTGCAAAGGATGGCCAAGGTTTTGCTGGGTTTGGATTTCAATTTCCTAGAAGGGGAAACAGAGAGAATGCAAGGTGGCATTTGTGTGAACAGATAAGCCTTCTGTCTCTTTCATTCTTGTCTTCAAATACTTTAATAAAGTGTATTCATTAAAAAAAATCCTACCTCCTTACAGAATTATGGCATTTATTTTTTTTTCTTACTAAGACAAGTCTTAAACGTAAGATATAAATGTCTGGCTTGGTATGAAAAAAGTTAGTTCCACTGGCCCAGCATGAAACAAACATTAAGGACACAAATTTTAACACACGGAAGTTGAGTTCACTACAAGTATGTAAACAGTGTTTTTTTTTCTCTCTTTATTCTGCTATTGCAAGAACATAAAAATATATGTCCTCTCCCCCAATCCATAACTCCACATTTGCTTTCCCTCCCCCCCAACCCCCTGTCCCCCCCAATAAAACCCCCTCTGCCGCAGAGCAGCTATGAAAAAGTACTGGTGTAATAAGAAAGCAGCTGCCCTTCACTTAGGGGAAAAACAACCCAACTTTCAAAGTAGAACACGCCTATATCAAGGAGAAAACCAAAAATTAAATATGCACAGGAGTCATACAATTTTCCCACTATGCTTTAAGAGTTTTAATGAGTTTCAAACTGAAGGCCTGGCCCCACCTGAGCCTGGTGTGTGGCCCGTGGGTGGGCAGAGGGTCCTGGGTTCTCTCTCAGAGCCCTTTGGGCCAGGAAGGGCCAACCACTGCCAAGAAGTAGCACTCACCCTCTTAAAATGACTTAAATGATGTGCAGGGAAGATGGTAAAACTTACAGAAGCGGAAGAAAAACGCACTCTCAGTCCTTCAGGCCGACAGGCAGAACGTTGGGTGGATTAAAAAAAATAATTTTCAACCTACCTCTTGCGGGATTACAGGAGGTAACACAGCGTTAACAGGCAACGGCAGCAGCCCAGGCTTGGGTGAACTGAAGAGGCAGCATTTAAAAAAATCCTCGACTGCCCTCCCACCTCCCCTCCTTTTCCCAGCTCGCCCTCCCCCTCCCCCCTTTAAAAAAAATAGGTTAGCATTTTATATTGTGTTTTGGTGTCTTTGATTTCTCTTTCCACCCCGCTTTCCAAAAAAGCATCAATGAATAACAAGTACAAAAGATGCTGAACTGGTGCGCTTCCGAGCCCACCACACACAGTCATTTTATAACATTACAAGTATGTCTGAAGGTGTCCACTTTTTTTTTTTAAAAAAGGCTAATTAGGGCAACATTTACCACAGAACCAGTTGGAGGGGGGGGAAAGAAAAAAATAAAATGATTGCATTGCAAACACTAAACAGTTAACTCTTCAATTAACATTTTAAAACCTCTAACTTTTACCTAGTATGGTCAAGTAATCATTAAAATGCAGCAATCTAAAATCAAGATGACTATTACAAATAAAAATTTGCTTCTGTGAATAGCTACACAAACAGATGTATTTCTTTTAACAAATATAAACAGAACAGTCTAATTTAGACTCCAATACAGCATTAACAGTTCAAACTTTTAAGATGTTGAACACTCCTTTTCCACTTCAGTGCAGTGTAGGAAGAATAGCACACGTTAAAGTTTGTTACGAAAATAGAGTTTATTAAAAACACATCCCTATTGTTTTGAGGAGCTTTCACCGTTACCTTTTCTTAAATTAAAAAAAAAATAGAAAGCACTTCTACTTCTGATTTGTAAACTTTTTAAAGTCAAAACTTTAAAAAAGTTACAGCAAAAATGGGTAATATTTTAATCATATCTTCAGTATCTCCTGTTACGTGGTGGCTATTTTAAATAGAAGGGAAGCAATCAAATTGCTTACAATTCCCCGCCGACTACTGAGGGGCTGTGATAGAAGCAGAAGCAAATATAATACAGCAGACTGTACAACTCTAAAGCTCTACACTCCAACAAATGTCACTGGCGTCGCCCGACGACGTCCCAGTCCCTAGCGAGGAGCCTCCGCCGCGGAGCCCGGCTCCTTTTCCGCCTGTTCCACAGATGAGGTAGCCTCGGATGGTGACTCTTCGACGGGTTTCACCCCCGTGGGTTCAGACTCTCCCGAGGGAAGTTCGGAAACAATGTCTGCGTCTTCCATTTTGCCGCTGAGAGATTCGTGGTTTTTGTCACCCTCTGCCCTGTCTGTCATCTCCGCTTTTTCCTTGCCTCGACTCTCCTCCTTGTCTCTCCGCGACTCCCTGTCTCTCGAATCCCTCTCCCGGTCTCGGTGGCCGCTGGACCGCCTGTTTCTGTCCTCCAAGTCTCTGTGTCTATCCCGCTCGGGGCTTCTCCGGCCCCAGTCTCGCCTGTCGCGGTTACCGAGTCGCTCGTGATCTCTGTCATCGCTGCGGTTACCGTAGCGCTGCTCACGGTCGTTTTCTACCCGATTGCCAAAAGATCTCCTTCCATACCTTTCCTGGTCTCTGTTAGGCGTGAACGTCTGCCTCTCGTTCCTATTAAACTGCCTCCCATCTCTGTTCTCCTCGGCTCCTCCCGGCCCCCCGCTTCCCGGCATCCCCCCGGGTCTCACAAAGTGACCCGGCGGCGGGAAGGGGGTTTTCATTCCGTGGGGGGGAGGCATCCCAAAGCCCCCCGGCCCCGGCGGGGGCCCTCTGTGCATCATGTGGGGAGGCATGTGTCGCGGCGGCATCAAGGGGAAGCGCTGCAGGGGAGGGGGTGGCATTCCTGGCGGGCGCTGGAGGGGTATCAAACCGGGCCGGGCGCCCAAGAGGCCGGTGGATGGAGCCTGCAACCCAACAACGGGGGCTGGCGGCGGGGGCGCGACTCCTTGAGTGCCTGAAATAAACAAAACACACACAAAATGGTAAAATCAGAGGCTGGCAGGAGGGGAAAAAAAAAAAAAGGTATTTTCATAATTGCAAAAACGTGCCGAAATTCTCTCCTGAAATGGGTAACGCCAAAATGGTGAGGGTGGGAGGGGTGCAGAGAGCAGCCTGCAAAGCTCCCTGCGCTGGCCTGCAGACTGTAGAGAGCACTGTCTTTAAACAGGAGCTTGTGTTGGCTAGGAGTAATTAATATTCAAACAGCAGTTAACTAAATCACTTATCCTAAAGGCCTCCTTTTGTGCCAAAGCCACTGCCATTTTGCAGGTCAGAGCTCTTCCTGATGAGTGCCTGCCTTCCTCAACTGCTGCTGACCAAACCCCTTCCTCACGGGTTATGCTTTCCAGACTTCCTAATTAAAGACACCTCACCTCCCTTAATTAGCTCTTAAACCTTTCCCCTCTATTACGAACAGCGGCGAAATTGTATCTGGCTAAAGTGCTTGTGATTTGAAGTGGTCACCAACACGGTTTCCAAGGTGCAGAAGAAGTGGGAGATGTAGCAAGGAGGTCACCCTCACAACGGGGCCGGGGTAGGAGCTGGAAATCACAGAGGGGTTCAATTTACCATTCCCGAGAAAAGGGATACATCAAAGTTTTATTTTAGTAGAATAAGCCTTGCAATCTAAGCTAAAAGGAAACAGCAAGAGGTGACTTCTGGATTATTTTTTTTTAAATACAATTTTCTATCCTTTATAGCACATCATTCAACACCAACTACGTTCCATTTTTGTTCCTGGCCTCTTGTTGTTAGCATGGTCTTCCTAAGAGAAAAAAAAAAAAAGAAAGCTCTCAAAACATACCGTTTGAGAAAGCTCAGCCCAAAGCTTGTTGATATCAACACCAGGAGCCAGAAGGCAGGAGGATTACCAAGCTCCAGCTGAGGCCTTCACACCAGTGAGCGTGTGCCCGCTCATCTCATGTGCCTCCTTTTGTTTGAACTAATAACACTATCGTCTCGCCTTCGCTGTAGCCTTCGCGCTGGATCTATCTGCTCTTTCTGCTCATTAGCAGTTATTTACTTGAAAATAAGCTCCCTATCTGAGCAAGCACGTCGTGTTTTTTAAATTCCCAAATGGAAATTTAAAGGCATCAAGAGTCGCCGGAGAACAAGCACGAATCTCTCCTAATCCATCTTGCGTTCCCTTACACATTTGTTGAGACTCTAAATAACATTTTCTTTCCACATATATGAAAAAAATTAAAGTTAAGAAAGCAGGTTACATAACATTTTCTAACTCCTGGCCTGGGTAAAACTAGAATGTGAAATGGTCATGTAAATTAATACTAGAATTAAATACCTGGTAGCGTCATCAGTGAAAATTGCTCTTTAATTTCAGCTTAACGAGCACAGTGGAGCAGACATCCCGAATAACCTGCCATTCTGCTATCATAGCTTCCCTCTTCCTCCATCTGCTTTATTTAGATTTCTATCCCAAATATGCCTGAGCCTTCCAAAGAATGTACATGTTGCCCTTTCATCCATCACATGCTTCTTTTGCTTAAGAACATCTTTTACAGAAACCCTTTTATCCGAGTGCTCTTTATATTCCTATTAGAAGGAAATCATATTTTGCTGATGAGGAGAACCCAGGTAACAAAGATGTGAATATTCTTCCAGTCCACGGTATGGCCTTACCTTCCCCTCCAAGCAGTCCCTTTTAAAACACGGCTTGATAGGTCACACTCTTTAAAATGTTCCAGCAGCACCACCATATATTTTGGGTTTGTTTTTTCAACTTGAAAATGCACAGCCCTCCCCCCTCCTCCTGTTCATAACCAGGGCTGTAAGTCATCTAGTTGAAACTCCTCCCGTGCCTTAGTACTACACATCTGATGAGACAGACATATGGCTAATGATGTCTTCCAAGAATGTTACTTTGCTAAATTCTGAGGTTTGGGCCTATTTTTGTTAAGTCTTCCACAGAAGATTAAAAATAAGGCAGAAAAAAAAATAACTGAGATCTAATGAGCTGAAGAGGACAAACATGTGCTGCTGCTCTACTGCAGCGGAGCAAACGTGGGTTACAACAGCACCAACATGAGGCAAGTGTGAAAAGTTCTTTTAAATTTAACAAGTACCAGTAATCTAATTGCTCAACCTTCCTTCTACACAAAATGCAGCACACAGAGGCAGCATAAGGGTATCTGAAACTCATTCTCTTTCAATCTGGGCAGCTGAACACTTTGAATTTTACATGAGCCCACTCAAATTTTGAGGCTGAAGTACACTGTAGTTTCCTCGCTGGGCTGACAAATCAGGCACCAATTAGAAATTTCTTTTGCAAGAACTGTCCACAAACACACCCACGTTTACTGAAAACGTTCAGTAAAACTAGTGACACAGATTGCACATGCAACGTCTAAGGGAAATATAAAGTCCTTTGTGGTTTGACACAGGGAAAAACAGTGTGTAAAATCTAAATCGTTTGTCAAACTTGACAAGAAGGACCAGAGCTCCTAGGGAAGCAAAAAAGATTTAACAACCATCTCATACCTGTGCAGATGAGCCAAGGAATTTATCTGCCCCAGCATGTATTTTATTTCTTTGTTCATAACTGTAAGCCTTTTTGTAGTAGCTGACCTTGTCTGCTTGCTTACAGGTATGAAATACAACCATCCCTTTCACCAGCTCTTTATTCTCCATGACTTGGCCAAGACACAGCTTTTATTACAAGGCACAGCTTTTCATACTGGAGATATAATCCTCAGGCCCTACATATATGTTAATCTGTTCAAATGTGTCAAAATACAGATTGCTTTCCCAACTTATTTTTGTGACCTTTACCAGCGATGCACAGAGAAAGGTCCTCAGAACTTGTGAAGATTCTTTACTATGAAGAACACGGATGCAAGTCAACTAGGAAAACCCATCGCCAACCAGGAGCGTTGTTCCAGAGGTGCAACAACAATCACACAGTGTCACAAGTTTCATAATTTCACTTTACTTGCAAGACACAGACCAAATGCTAGAGCTGTCCTGAAGAAGTGTCTTCTATCCAGAGAGGTCACAGGAGTGATAAGTTAGGTAAAAAGCCAGATTTCAGTGTCACTGTAATTCCGTTTCTGATTATCTTCTCTTCTGGCTGGACAAAGCCCATGTTCCCTTGTGGTAATTATCAGTGCTACAATCACTAACATAACTGAGAAGCATGAACTCTGCTCAGTAAGTGATTAGAGTGTCTCATATAATCTGTTAAATTACTTCTCAGCTGTGCTGTTACAAGAAAGCAAGTGGAGGAATAGCGTTTTCTGTATCTGACACAGCAATTCTGCTTCAAATATACCTCCTTTGCGAATCTGATGGAAACACGTACAAGAACAAGAAGTCAAAAGCTTACCATTCCAGCAGAATGGGCAAAAGGTTTACACGTTGAGTTTGATGCTGATGTTCTGCAACATTGAGCATGTCACATTAATTCTCCTATTGTTCTCCAGTACGGAATGTTGCATCTTAAAACTAGAACATTGAACACTACCAGGAAATTCTTGGGAGAGGGACAATGATGTAAACCTCGTGTCTCTTTTCTGGAGCCTGATACAGAATCCTTTAGACTAGGCCAAGACTTTAAAGAAAGAAGCCTAAACTTAAGTGCCTAAATATTGATTCAAAACTTTAATAACTTGCCACAAATACCAGCATTTTTCAGGATAGTCAATGCCCATCACTGAAACGAGCAGGAGCTTGCTCCTGTTTGTGTAAGATGCTTAAACAAGGATGTAAGAGTCAAACTGCGTTACGTGTACAGTGTTGGTTACTGGCATTAAGACTTCTAAAATTCCTGCTTTATAAAACATAAGCGCTAAACCAATCCAGGTCAAGGGAACCATCAAGGCAAAACTGAATTCCAGGAATGATGCTTAAGAGTTCACGTTCCCTTAACCTCTGAATTCTCATCCAGCAGTATTAAGAAGCAACAGTCATATATATATAATTAGCAATCATGCAGTGTTTTTTATGCTTTTAAAATGGGCTATCACAAAACATTTGGAAATGTATTAGTTTTCTCACTGTTCATATCCTGTGTTAATAAAAAGCTCATCCTTCCTGTCAAGGAAGTATCCACATTATAATATAGTAATATTCTGATGAGCACAGAGAATACTGTAGTCAGTCTTTTATAATTTAATGCAGATTTCAGAAAGGCCACATACTTGCTTAAGAACAAACCAGGAAGAGAGAAAAGAACAGTAATTGAGCCTGCGGTAACAGGAAGTGATTACCAAGTTCAAGGAGAACTACAGTATCATTACTCTTTGGTAATATGTCATCATAATTGTAGGGATTTTGGTAAAAAGAGCACTAGACCAGAACCTACAAACTGCAATACGGTGTATTTAATCAAGATAATAGATCACAGAATCTGAATATTTGAAACACAGCATCTGCAAGAGCAGTTTATTACTGGTCCAAATTACAGCATTTGCTCAACACTAAGAACAAGTTGGCAAATCAAAAATGATTTAAAACCCTGTCACTTTCTGCAATATGCATACGTAAAAGGAGTCTAAAAATCTGCTTTGCAGACCATTTTAAAAAATGACATATGAGCACACACTCACAAACCCAGTTACAGTCTGGATAATCTTGTTCAAATTAAGAACAAGAAGCTATAACAGCAGCAAATATGATCAAGGATACAACTAAATCAAAACAACCTGAGGGTGGTTTTTAGAAATGAGCACAAAAAAATTCAGACACCATGTCCATGGAGGGATCACTCCTCTGAAGCACAAACATGTCTTTGTTGGAAGTGATGAAAGAAATACATTTTAGGAAGGAATGAAATTAGTGGAGATGAAACAGAACGTAACTTACATTACTAAGAAAGCATATGAAATCTTACAATAATCAATTTAGAATTACCATATAAAAACTGAACAGATAGAAAGATAAGCTTCATTTTGAAATTACAAAAATTAGAAAAGAGCTCCTGCGTTTGTACAGATTACATAAGGTGTACTCAAGCAAGGTTAAGTTTCGATTTCTATGTCAGTCTCTTCAGAGCAATCTTCATTCCTTGAATGCTGCTGAAGTAAGTTCTTCTATCCTGCCCCAATATGCGAAGAACATTTCTTCATTCTTCACGTTACACTACTCAAGCCCCTTCATCCCTAGTTCCCCAAGCAGAGTCCTCATGACATACTTCATGATGTTGTCAAACAAATCTTTCTTCCACCTTCTTATCTCAGCTTGGAGAGCCACATCATGGGAATGTTTAACGAGCAGTTTGAGGACTTTGTGAGAAACCAGCCACACAGTCAGTCATCTGTTCAAATTGCTAAACCATACGCTTGTGAACGTGAGGTCCTTCAGTCAGAAGCATTTGATTTTCCCTGTCTGCACCTTCCCATGGCTAACTGAGGGTGACACTGACCCTACTCGTTTTCTTTGTCCAGTTCGTTTGCCTCTGACCTGTACAAGACTGTAGGTCAGGTACTAAGGCTACATTCAAACTGTCAAGCCTGCAAGTACTTCTGGGCTCCGGGACCGGGACACATATGTAGGTTGCACCTCATGCCCACACACGTGGTGAAACCCTGGCACGCTCCATTTCCCATGCTTTGATTTCCCTAGGAATGACACCTGACACACGGAATGAAAAGGAAGAAATGAGGATGCAGCCTGGCCAGCTCTTGAACTCAGAGGATGGGGAGGACAAGACTTCAAGGGACACTTCTTTGCTATCTAGATCAGCACCAGTGGTGGAAAATATCCCCCCTTTCATGGTTGTCTTGCAGCCTAAGGAGAGACCAGATCCTGACCCTCACATGCAGAGCTAAGCTCAATCGATAAGTCAATCAAACTGGTTTTAAGAAGACAGCTTCATTTGTGTTAACTTACTGAAAAGTTTTAAAAGCAAAGACAACTGACATTAATCTTTCATCTTTAATCAGGTAAAACAAAATAATCATTTTCTTCTAGTGTTCTTGTATCTTGTATCAGATTGTGAACAGTCCCCCCTAATTCCAAAACGTCGGGATGGAAGGATTTTACGTAACTCCTTGATTATAAATACCTTCTTCTTGAAAAAAGACACTCATCAACATAAAATGCTATTACTTAAGTAAACACAAAGGTCTTAAGCTATTATTACTTCAGCACTACTCTGTAAGCTCACACATGCAATCTTACGAAAAGAAAAAAACTCTCCTATCCCCCCTAGTCCCCCCAGTCCTATCTCGACTGAACGTTGAGAGGAGTCACCCTGAACGACATGGACAACTTTATCTAACTCAACCATTCAGTAAACAAGTTAATGAAAACAAAGGCAAGTTCTTGATCTTCAGATTTATCAAATTCAGCTTCCTTGAGTTCGTAAGAATAAAAAAAGCTACTGTCCAAGTAACTGATGTGGGTATATGATCTACTTCACTCCAAAATTAATTTTGTAAAACTTTTTTCTTATGTGTATAGTGCAAACTGCATAGTAAATTCATACATTCCAAAGGCTTGGAATAAAAAGTTCAAGTTATGCTGTAGAAGACATAGTACCAGGAAACTTCAAAAAAATATGGTAACATAGTATTACAATTACAAAAAGTGTAACTTTGTCATTAAGATGTGAATGTCTGGTAATCTTTATCACTACAAAATTCTTAATCCATGGTGTCACCACAGAATTTTTTTAAGCTTTTCTCTATTTGCCGAGTGTCCGAGATACCCTAAAACAACTAGCTGCTGGGTTTTGGCAGATTTTAAAAAGCAGACTGATTTTCAGAGAGAAGCAGCTCTTCATTTTGAAAAGTGCCTTTTAAAAGGATCTTAGTTTGAGTTTCCAACACGAAGGACCCAAAAAACACTAGTCACAGCTGGAAAACATAGCCATCAATACCAATAGAGCAGTAAGGTCTCAGAGACAAATCTTTGGGGTTTTTTCAGTGTAGAGTGTAAAGTTCTGGGCAGAAACACACTAAAACAAAATTATCTTTTTCATTCACTTGTTAGGCTCCTATTTAGAGGTCTGAAATCCCACAAATGTAGTAAGCTCATTAGAATTTGTACAAGTCTCTTGAGTGTATTCTGGACACTGAGCCATAAAAGGCCATCCTAAACTAAGTATTTAGAAGACCTCTGTAACGTTAAACAGTATACACTCTCTTTAAAAAAATGATCAAGTTCACATCATGTTGTGAAAAGTAATTTGTGTAAGATATACTAAGTTAGCTTGGTTTTGCTAGTCAGAATACCACTTTGTAATATTTAAATCAGCTAGCATATTGTTAAAAAGGTTTGAAATCCTGTAATATTGCAGGGTTGAATAAAAACTTGTTTTTTATTTTATTAAAATAATTATTAATAATTGATTTTATTAAATAATTTATTGCATACATTAAAAGTATACCATATTTGCACAGATAAAAAAACATACTGTTTCTCTGTAAGTTAATTTTTTACAGGTAATAGTTGAGTCTAAAATATAGTTCATATGTCATACAGATGATCTGTTGCAAGGTGATTTTCTATATGGTATAAACCTCAATTTTTTAAAAGCTGATAGCATTTTGCTCTGTCCCAAATTTGTAACTTAAAAGTTATAGCTTTTTTGTTTCTTCAGAAAACAGATCTTCAATAATTAAAAAAAAATTACTGCTCCTTCTGTGCAACATCAGGCCCCTAAAAATTATTTAAAAGCCAACAGAAGGGCAGAAATTTCAACAAATTTAGAAAAATCTGCTTAACTTTCCCATGAATTGTAAGCCAGTAGCAAAATCAAAATGGTGTCTAAATTCAGGAAACAATAAATTTAAGGATATATACAAAAATGAACTTACCAAGAAGTGGAAGAGTTTGGGTGACAGGAGCAGGTACATTAGTAGGTGCTACAGGAGGTGGAACAGTCCCATACATTTTGGAACTATCAGTAGTTTCAGCAGTCCCTCTGGATCCAGAAACCACTGTTGGGATGGGATTTCCTACAGATGAATCTTTCGTAGTGTCTTCATTCACACCAGTTGCTGTAGCTAAGAAACAACGCATTGACACATTAAAAAAAGAGTCAGGTTTTCTGTTGGCACGATACCTTCCTTCTACTGCCATTTGCCCAAGATTTCAACACTTACAGTTTGGGATGTTCACTGCTGGAGTGTGAGGAACAGATACTGGAGGAGTTATAGGTGGTGGTGGCCCAGGAGGAAGAAAACCTATAAAGAAGTATATATTAACACCAAGCATCACTTTACCAAAACATACTTGTGCAATTTATATGGCAGATTCTTTTATTTGCTATATGGTTAAAAAAAAGAAAGGACCTGATATTCCTTAAAATATATAAATATACCTGGGGGTAAATGCATTGGGTTAAAACCAGGTCGTAAGAATGGAGGCGGTGGTGGTGGTGGCACACCAGGAGCAAATCCAGGAGGTGGGATTCCTAAAGGTGCTGTGAAAGCAGGTGGTTGGAGAGCACCAACCACAGGAGGACCTGATGGATGTGGTGGAACCTAAGAAAAAAGGAAGGAGAAAAATGCGTTAGCTCAAGACTGAATGGATTATTTGTTTTTCAGTTGTGGACTTCTGTGTTTTGTCCATCAAAACAGGAAAAGTCACCCTACCTTAAATTATAATGTGACCTAAGTAACCGATCTAATTAGCAGCCAAAGACCTCCTGCAACTTAAAATATCAACATTGATCTTGCTTGTCTTTGTTCCTGAAGAATTATTCTCTGTGGTAAACAGATACTAACGCATGCTGGTAACTCACCTAAATATACACTTTACACAGTAGCTGGAATTAATCTTCCCATCCAGCATGATACACTATAATGCACACAACTTGGGAGCAATTTTCTTTTCTCTTTAACACTACCCAAGTTTGTTATTATTATGTTGAGTGATTATTATTTCCTTATTCATTTATTATTTCTAATTCTGATTTATATCGAGCTCTGAACAAAAATGGATTTAAATTAAGTCGGTCCTCAGACTCATATTTGAGCTTGCTATAAAAAAATACATTAAATGTGTGGGAATCAAAAAGAAAAAAGTTAAATCAAAATATGCTCTGCTTTTAAAATTGACTTATTAAAGCAGAGCTGTGTACTCAAGTAATCACAACTGACTCACCTCCATGACCATTAAAATTTCAAAACTACTACACCAAGACCCTTCATAACTCATTTTTATTTCTAGAGTGAAGAAGGTAAAGGCTTTAGTAATTTATTCTCAAAACTGAAACAAGTGGCATTAAATCAAAGTAAGCAAAAGATTATCCTTTAACCTAGAGAAGATGCTAAAGCTTCCAAGCACTTGCTGCCACTTCAAAATTCTGTTCTTAGCTCTTAACCAACAGCTGGGTTAATGAGCTGAGGCACATTAGAACTTGTACTATTAGAATTTTAAAGTCAATTAAGTACAGTAGGCTTCAATGAATTAGGTTTTAGGGTAGACCATCACTTTTTATTTTCAAATTGGCTATTTGTTGGTTTATAATCACCTGTTGATTGGGCCCTTGCCTCAAGTTAAGCTAACTGAGCCAACATGGAAGCAAATACTGGATGTGGCACAAGAAACTGCCAGATGTGACAAATAACAATGTGAGAAGCTGGCAAAAGTTACAGATGGCACCATGAGTGATGGTTGGATTCTGCAGGTGGTTAAGTGGGTATCATGTGAACAACAGCCAAACTTCAGAGAGAAGAAGAAAGGACCTTCAGGGGACTAGGATCTTGCAAGGCCAACAGTGCACAGGTAGGCATATCTAGGAGTACTGCCTAAGGCCAAGGCTACCCAGATGGACGCTGAGTAACCCTAGAGGTGTTTCCATTAATCACAGTTAAAGCTTTAGAAGAAGTGCTCCGAAACCACAGTAACCCAATAGTCTCAGTAGGTCTTTCTGTTGTTTTACAGGGCACTCCTTCAAAGAACAGCAGCTTACAAAATTAGCTAGACCTCGCGACAGATCTGTTGATCACAGTAATGTTCTGTGAAGCAAGCGCTCACTTACGGAGTGTGTACAGAGCAGAAGAAATTGAGGAAGGGTATCAAGAAGGCAAAAAGGTTTTTAAAAAAGAGGGGAAACTTGCTAAGAGCTGTCAGTCCTTAAGTAGTTAAAAGTTGAGAAAACTGTGGAGGAAGTGTGTGTGCACAATGGCTTGAGAAGGCATAACAAATAGTAAAACGTTATGATGGAACTAGAATAGAAGTAACATCAAAGGAAGATGATTTAGATACACATTAATACCTAATTACCCAAGCTTAACTGCTGTACCTAGTTTTTTCTAAAAAGTTAACCCTCTAATACATCATTGTAAGTAACAAGTTAAAATCTTTTAAGCAGGAAGAAAAAAGGTAAGTGGTAAAAATCAGTGCATAAATGTCACAAAATCGAATTTAAAATACAATTTGAAGTCTAAAGTTTCTACCTTTGTTAAAGAGATGGAACCAATGACTAATTAACATTGACAGCAAACACAGAGAACTGGTGAACAGTTTCAGAATAATAGCTAACAAAGAGAATAAATCAAAATAACAAAAATGCTAGCAGGGAGACCTTTCATTAATGGGCAGACAAATATCGGGAAAACATGGTATTTAGCTGGCAACATTGGAAACTGGATAACTAACTTCTCAATAACTAGTGCAGACTGCCAGGTGCATCCCAATGAACATGTCTTGGGGTCTGGCCTGTGTCCAGGTGTTAACTATTTTATTACTGCACACATCTCAGATTGAGACTTGAAGGAGAATCATTGGCCCTGTGAACTAAAGGAGCACAGTTTACCTATAGTGCTCCAAGACAAACAAAAATATATTTAAGTGCATCTGGTGTCTCCAATAGGGAGACTGCAAAGGAGGAGTCTGCCAGTTATACTCGACAGAAAGAGTACAGCATGGATATTGGACCAATGTACAACTCCCACACGTGGTTACAGGGAGAAGGAACACATGGGATTGAGAAATACACCAGGAAATTTGGGAGGTACATATTCAACTTGGACTCTGGTTTCTGGCTGAAAACCTCTTAAGTGAAGAAAATGGACTTTTTGGGTTGGATTGGGAAACTTATGGAAAGGGTGGGCACAGCAAACCCCCTGGACTTCAATGTACAACCTTAGCAAAGCCAGAGCCATGGTTCACTGTAAAAGAATGGCAGTTTTGGCAGGGTAACACTCAGCTTTGCCAGGAGAATGGTACACTATTTGCCCAAAACCTCATCAATGAACGTGCAACATAACTGATATGACAAGTGCTATTAACTGAAACTGACTCTCAATAATCAAGAAATAGACTTAAGTTGATCTTGGACACTGCAATATGACTTAAAAATAAACACAGACCTACCCCCGGAGCGGACGACTGAGGTGGATTACTCAGCCCTGCAGGAGTGGGACCAGATTCAGCAACAGCTCAGAGATCTGAATCTACAGGCAAGAAAAGGGCTCACTCCAGCAGCACAACACAACAGAATTATTCCACCTGTCTTGCCAACAACTCAGGACCGTGTGGCTGAGAAGACACTGTGTGCACTATTGAGGCAGAAGAACCAGACTTACCTACGCAAGCTACCATTCCTAGAAGGATGACATTGACTTTAAGTGTCTTACTATACAGAGGTTGCATTCGTGGCTCAAGGTGACACTGGCAATACCAGGAGGTCACTCTGAAATTAAGTTACACTGCTCACAGGTGCCATGCAGCAGAGCAGGGCTCCATTCCTATGTGTCCAGCCCATGCAAGGTAGCAGAGAAGACCCATTCAGGCTTTACCAGAGAAAGGAGCGATGCGGCTCCTTCCCATCCTACCTTCAAGTGTGGGATTGTTAGGGCAGTGGGCAGATCACAAAGCTGCTGACTATGCCCTGGCCTGAAGTCAAGCTTCACGAGAAAGGGCATTACAGGCATGAGAAGCTACTGGACACAACAGGAGAAACTGCCAGACATGACAGGTAACAACGTGAGAAGCTGACAAATTACAGATAGTGGCATAAGGGATGGCTGGATTTAAGATGGTTAATGGTGCTTCGTGAACAACAGCCAAATTCCACAGATAACCAGAAAGGAGCACGGGGAATTTTAGCGGGAAAAGGAGGGGGAAAAGGATCTTCCTTGTAAGGCCAACACTGCACATAACTGTTGGATATAACCGTATCCAAGAACAGCATACAAAGACAGTATTACTTAGGTAACCACATCATAAATAGCAAATCTGTGACCAATGTGGAAAAAAAACAATTAGGGGGGAGTTGTTTATTTGGGAGGAGACTGGAGTGGAGGAAAGGAGGAGAAAGCACAACAAAAAAAGAAAGATCAAAAGTGAGAAAAGAGAAACTAAGATATGGGAATCGTGCAGTCAAAGCTGTTTGGGGTTACCTGTCAGGCAACCCTATGCTTGATCCCTGCAGCCTGAGTGAGGACAATGCACAAAGCCTGTGCTGACGTACCACACACACCAAACCTGCTTCTCCAGTCAGAGGGACCAGGGTGGGCAGGGTGCTTTCCATGGCTAAAGGCAGAACAGCTACGGGACCAGACCAAGCAACTGGTATCGCTGTACTGATGCCCATTCCAGGCTGGACAGCATCAGCAGCCACCCAGCACTCCTAACAACCTCCCACCTCTTACAGTCCCGAACACTGAAGCCAGATACAAATAAAAACAGGTCTGCTTTTATCAGGGGACAAAAAAAATACATCAGAATATGAATGCAATGGTACTCCACAAAGTTATTTAAAAAAAAAAAAAGAAGTGGAATATAATGAGTTTTTTCCTTTAGGTATTAGGTCACATCTGGGTATTACAAAACACGTTACTTTTACTACTAACACCACTAACTTCATTACATCTAAACTTAGTTTGTAAGTTTTAACAACTATTTACAAATTATGAAACTATTGTAATTTTATAGCTAGAGAAGACAACTGAATTGGTCAGGTATAAGCATAAAAAAATTCACAGCAAAACCAAAGATGAAGACTGAATACAGTTCTCTGATCCTGCCCTGAATTTGTGAAGACACAAATTTCTTTGCCATAGTAAAAAATTGAAGCTGATGAGGCTGAGACAAGCAATCAGCACACTCAATATATCCTGAAACTGCTTGGTTTTTTCTTTACACTATCTTTTTCAGCTTGGATTTAAGGAAAATAAAGAAAATCACTACTATTTAATACAGTTAATGGCTATCAAAACTCTGAAAGTAGAAATTTGACTTATGTGTTCATTTACTAATAATACCTTACAGCATTTCAAGAATTCCGTGTCAAAACACCACAAAATTCAAACAACTATGTTCTCAAATCACTTAATTGGCTAGATTATATATGCCTGCAAATAATTTGAGTTCTTGATCTTTTCTGAGCATTTGCCACATTGTAGTTCATAAAGCAGATTTTCTCAAGATGTAAAATAGTTCTATTAACACTTCCTCCCATTTGGGAGGCTGCATACTACTATTTTAACAGTGACAAGAAAGAAACTGTTACAATAAAAGTAGCAACGCGTCTGTCACTAAGCTAAAAAAACATATAGATTATAAAACACCAGAGAGAGTAATTATTATTAGATGCTACTTAAACTAATGGTAAAATCTCAGAGGGTTCTTTTAGTGAATGAACATACGACATCAGCTTTGACTGAAGAACTATTATAACAACAGAGTATGAAAATTTTGGTATTAAATTCCCAAAGGCTGTTCAAAGATATTATACACAATATGAACAAACATGAAAGCAATGCATGTTTAAGAAGGTTTATAACTTATTTAAGCCAATAGTGAGGAAAATAGAAAAAAAAGTAATGCAATCATAACAATGAGAGGATGCAATTCAGCCCATTAATAAAAAGAATCTACTGCAACTATTTATCCAGGACTGAGAGAACAGGTATTAGACATTCAGTCCTACAATATTATGCTCTGTCCACATTAGCATTAGAGCAACAACGAGGTTTTGGAGTGAATTCTCCATCGTTCCCACTAACCACGTGCTGACTCAGTTGCCAGGGCTGTTCCGGTACATGCAAACTATGTCCCTTTGCAGGGAAATCAAACCAGAAGTTCTGCTGGGCACAAAACATGCTCCAAACCCTAGTGGCTTAGGTTTTTTTTCAAGCCTTCCATTGCCACTGTGACTTAGCAGAAAAGGAATGTTCTTCTATGAGACCGCATGGCTCTTTTACATGAGGGAGCTCAAATAATGTTTTTCAGGTGCATACTGATTTATGGCACAGGAAAGTTACCTTCATAAATGGGCAGCATAGCTAGTCTGCCAACAAGGGTGTTTTTAACCAGGGACTACAACATGACAAACGCACACAAAATCAACTAGTTACCAAGTTACCATCCATCACATTTCCTCCCTCTCTTTAACTTATGTATTGCCATGCTGAATTATTATTTAAAGTAAGGTTTTGGTTAGCTATCCAGAGCAAATGAGAAGCAACTCTCACCTGTGGAGGAGGTACTGTTATTGGTGCAGGCATGGGAACGGGAATTGGAACAGGTAAAGCTTTAGGTATAGGTGACACTGGTTCATTATGTGTAGCTTCTGCACCTCCATTTTGAGCTATTTCATTTTCAGACTTCTTGGGAATCCCCTTCCACTCTATACAAAAGAAACCCAAACGTACATAATCAGCTCAGTAGAAGAGGACAAGTAGTCAAAGTACTGCCATGTAAAACTATCATGCTTTGTGGTGTTTACAAAAATGATGTAACTGAAAATATTCAGATAATAAGAACCACACAGCTAAGAAGCATTTAAACATATTTCTGACAATAAAAATTCCAAATTGTTTTAAACACAGTACAGCAGATAACTGAAACACAGCAAGTAAATTTACTCCTTTCATCAGTCATTTCACAATTCTTTGCACTGACAGCATCTATACATGCCCCAGACTCTGAAAGACAGCATCTGTAACAAAAACAGTAAGGCTGTTTTCAGACAAATTTTCAACAAATTTGTTCTATTGCTCTCAAGCAAGAAGGCAGCAGCTTTTCCACTAATTTGAGAAGTAATTTCTGAAAAAACAAAAATTTTCAAGCCTTGAACAAGGAAAAGGAGAATAGAACAATAAAGAATGGCAGCAAAAAAAAGAAACATCCAATATAGCTTCAAACTTGTTTTACAGAAGAAACATGGCTCCTATTGTTTGTCAGAATTTCCAGGGAAAAGACAGCTAAGCAGAAAAAAGGGATCAGTGACGAGGCATTATGGGAAATAGAAAAGCCCTGAGAAGACTGGAGCACACTGGGTTTATCATTTGTTTAACATTCACACTCAAATTTACTGTGTATTTGCCATGAAGAGATGCTACTATTTAGAATAACCACCACCCAATGAGGGCAAACTGGACAGAATGACAAACCCCTGAAATAATGTTCCAATAACTAGACAGCACACCACACAACAGTTAGACCAACTACTCCACAGTACCAAGCCAAAGAACTTAAGGCAACTTCACTTCTTAAGTACTGTGTTCATTTAATGTCACTTTTAAAATCACAACAGCCAACACACCAGCAGATCTACCTTGATTTGAAGCCTCTCATTATAACAGGTGTTATTTTTTTAATACAACCATAGAACCCTGTTATTGCACTGCTTACATATAAAATATAAAATTTTCATATAAAATGAAAACTATAGGCAGTGCTTTTTGAAATTATGAAATTGCTGACAGCTCAGTTGCCACCCAAGCCCTCCAAAAGCAGGCTCCTTTGCTAGGGGTGCCTCGCACAAACTGGAAGGGGGGGATGGGAGCTGGGGAAAGGGACCAACAAGGCCAACACACTTGCTTCCTGCATTACCACCAAGGGCAAACACCAGCACAGCTGACAGGTCACCTGGTGCCCACGTGCATTTTCAGCCCAGCCTCTCCTAACACAGCTGCACAACTGCCCATGAGAGACTGTCCTTAACTGCTTACAGGCTCTCTCCAATTTACGGGCTACACCTGCTGCACTTCTATGCCATTTCAGGGATTTTATATGCATATCAGAGTCATAAAAGTCAGCCACATCAACTTCAGTACACCAACACAAAGGACAATTTTTTAAAAGCATTTAAAGATGTAGCAATACTTTACCTGGACTAAGAGTTTCGTTGTCCAACATTCCTCCTTCACAGAAACTTTCAAGATCTTCAGGCTTCACTTTGTCCCATGGTATGTAAGTAACACCTAATTCTACATCCCAATACTGCTTGTAGTCTGGCTTTATTCCTTTATTCAAAGCCCACGCAATCTTGGGAGGGGGGAAAAATTACGTACAGTCAGTAAAATGTTTCCATTATAATGGATTTAATATTTAGTTCTCACAAAACAGCATTGCTATTTGAGGCTAAAAAGAAAAATAATACTCTAATTGAAACAGCAGGAAAAATAGGTTAGTTACAAAACTCTGAGATAAGAGGGGTTTTTAAAGCAGACTTAGTTTTTTTTTTTTCCTCTTGGCTTGGCTCTTGCACACTATCTGTAAAAACGTATAAAGGCAGTTTCGTCAAATGTTCCCCAATCACTAAGATTAAGGACAGTGTCACACTCTAATACAACGTTCTATAAAAGGAAGAACTTAACTAATGAATGCATTCTTCCTTATTTATTAGTACTCTTTGTAGATTATCACATATAAACTCAGTTATAAGACAAATAACCAGCAACAAGAAAAACATAGTTACAGCCCACTGTAATGACTACAAGGACACCATTTTTTGTTTGTGAATAGACAATTACTGGCAATCTTTCAAGGAAATTGATATAAGTTCCACTAGGCATGGTACAGAACAGGAAGAATATTTATCAAGGAAGAAAAGTGGTCCATTCACGTAAGTGTACAGAATACCATATCCAGAATACCTACAAGTTTAAAATACCCAAAAGTCTAGAACAGATGAAAAAGGGTTACAGAAATTACAGTAACTTTACAACTGCTTGACAATTGCGAAGAAGTACCTTTATAGATTTCTGATTGACTTTGAAGTTTCCTCGGCTCAGTTTTTGCAGGGCACGGTAAGCATCTTGTCTGTGAACCATTACAATATAGGCACATCCTCTAGGCGGTATCATCTGTTTGTATTTTAACAAAAAAAAAAATAATATGGGCTTGGTAGCTTATTAACAGAGTAACGAACAACATACAAGTGTTTAATTACAGTAAGCTGAAAAATCAGCAGGTGTTTCAGAAAGGACTATGAAAGTATGAAAGAGAACGTTAGTTTAAGAGGCTAAAACATCCAGTATCTTCTGGAAATACAGATTTCTAGTAAATTAAAAACAACTTCTTGTGTGGAAAGTTTTAAACTCTATTCCGTGTGAGAATACAGATGACTGTTGTATATTTAATCCTTTAAAAATTGTTAAACAGTAGTGTTCATGTAAATGCTGTAGTCTGGCAATTAGTTACTTTGTTGGAAGAAACAAGACACTCTAATACCCCACTTCATTCCACATATCACAAGCTGCCAGCTGCACCTCCACATTCAGTTTTATCTGCCGTTTTGTAATAATTTTTATTATTTCTAATGCATTTGAGAATAAACTTCTATGTTGTTTTACAAAGTCTGGGAATAGGAAGAAAATTACAGTCACTTCTTTTTGTTTGTTTAAATGAAATTTTATAGCTACCAGAACAGCTATCATTTATCTATAAAAACATCCTTAAATACAGCAAAGCATAACAACATGCTTATGACTAACATGACAAAAGAGAAAGAAGCAAAAGAAACAAGAACACCAGCTGAGAGTCCACATTCTATAATCAAACAAAATGGAACAGACAAGGAGCTCAGTAGCACAGTATGCAATTCTGTACCCATCTCCTCAATAGCCCTTTCTCATTCAATTCTCTTCAGAGAAAGCACATGATTTTTATGAAAATGGGATAATCTTCTGTATTACCCCCAAGAGCATTTTTAAATTGCAAGAAACTAAAGCAACTGCCTTGTTTTTCCACAAAGCAGCCAATTGAATAGAGTTCACACATTAGAAAACACAACCATATAGGAAATGAGAGCTCTTGACTCTTCTGAATGTAACAAAAATAAAGCTGCCTTAGAACAGTCTGAAAAGACTTTTTGTAACCAAGCCACACCAAAGTAGCTTACACTGCACCATTTATACTTACATTTATTGATTCAATTGGGCCAAACTCCTCCAAAAGACTTCCAACATCCTGTTGAGTTGTCCTTTTGTCAAGTTGTCCTACCCAAAGCGTAGTACTACAAACTACAATCAAAGAGCACAGATTGTAAGAGCACTTGGAAATACACATTTCCCAAGCCAGAATGTCAAAATAGCAATTTTAAAATAGTCAGTTATTCAAATGATAAAGCCAGCTAACATTAAAATACGTATTTTAAGCTTTAGGAGTCTTTGACAGAAACCTCCTCTTGCCGGCCTGGAGCTGTGTTGACAGTTAACCACAGCAACTACACCACAATCACTGTTGGTAAGAAGTTCTCTAGCTACCTAATGTCACGATCATCAGAACTTGCAGGTGAGCTCTGCAAATCATCACAAAAGGAAAAATAGGCTTTGCTGCTAATAATGCTCCATGAAATATCCCAACACATACAGTGGATATTTCACAAGGTAACTCTGCTTAGTATGAAACCCAAGCTATGCGCTACCGTGACAAGTTACAGATGGTACTTATCAGCAAGATGACAATTAGATTGTTTCTGGTGATACACCTACTACTAGCAAGACCTTATACGACAATGAGCAACCAAACTTTTATCCTTTTTAGTGACCTATTCAATGGCACTTCTTTCAATGGTTCAGTGAAAGATTATTGACACAAGCTTTTTTCTTTCAGGAGAGAGTAAGCAACATGCTTATCTCACTTCATGTTTCAAGGCAATAAAATAACAAATTAGCTCAAAGTATCCCATTTGCTGAAGAGTACTATGGCAACATTTAATACTCATCTATGTATTCCTCACTAAGTGATATAACTGCAAACCTAAAAAGCATTATGTGACAGAATCTGGGAGAGATGTTGGCAAAAGCCTATCTTACACCACTGCCAGTAAGCTTTTCATGAACAGCTACTAAATCTTTGTAGGCTTTTTGAACTAATGGTATTGTCCTTCACAAGGTTTTGGCTACTTAGAACCCTGTAGTTGATGTCCCTCTTAGGTAAAAAAGGAATGTTCTCATTTTATTTGATGACTCCAGAGAAGATTCCATATTCTCCAGGAATATTCAGAAGACAACTACTACATTTTGTCTAAAAACACAGGCAAAGCCAGGATTATTTCAGAAATCCAAACATTAGCCTGTGTGTTTTCCAGGTCAAAGCTCCCCTCCAAGTTTGAGACACACACAACACTGAATCATGAGAAAAATCATAATAACGTCCTTTGTTGCTCACTCTGCTGTACTTATATGTCTCAAAGGAAGGAAAAAAACATGGTGTTTTCAGCTTTCCTCATTTTACAGCCAAAATATTTCTGACTCGGAGATATTAAAAAAGTGTCCAATTGTCTACTATGAGTAAAGGAAGTACAGGGATGTGTGGTGAATTTAATTCTTACCAGCTTTAAAACAGTTCAGAAAATAAATCACAGTAGTTTACTTTTGTTCTGTTTGGATGAGTCTTAGAACCCACATCAAACAGCATTTAACCCAAGACAAAGGAACAAAAAAATAACACACATCAGATTAAGAGTTGTTTCCTGGGACATTCCAAGGGGATACCATATATTGAAGGTAAGTGGACTTGTCAACATTAGACTTCTTTTTAAAAAAATCTACTAGATACGAGAAGGTTATTTCTTTGACATTTACATTTTTTGAAATACTTGTTTGTCTTAGTATTCCATTTTACATAGGCTTAATATCTACTGTAATGTTTTCAACTTCACAGAACTCTAAAATTCATTAAAGGAAATACTGGGCATAGACAAAAAAAATCCACATGTGAACCAGAAAGATGTTGAGCATCTGAAAAATAGTACTATAAGAATTTGTAGAGTTACATCAACAGTAAAGAAAGAGAATATACTTACCACTAACAGTTTCTGACTTGATCTGAGGAAGGCCTTTTGACCTGCGTTCCCTCTCCCTCTCCCGCTCACGTCTCTCTTGTGACCGGGACTTGGGAGAGTGCCGGCGTCTGTCCCTGGACCGAGACCGAGACCGACGATGACGCGACCTTCGAGATCGGGAGCCAGATCTTGAACGTCTCCTTTTAGGTGACCTAGTTTAAACCAACAACCACTCATGTTCAGTTTTTCTGACCCAGACATTGACAGATAGGTAGCTCTTTCAGATACTTATTTAAATAATCAGGCAACAGTTCAGCCAATGAAGCAAAAAAATTAATCCAAGCGCATTCACAAGCATTTAGAAGTATAGTAAGTTATTACAGTAGCTTATCAATGCACTCCAGCTGAACAGTTGATCATTTTCCAAATTCTTATCTTCTATTAATTTTGTACTGAAGTTGACTGTCAAAACTATGCCCATGTTAACATTTTTAAAATGTTATATATGCTTAAATGAGGAAAATGTTTTACAAAAGAATTGCTAAAAAAAAAAGAGATATTTAAAATAAATTCTGCCAGCAAAATTGCGTTATACATTATGGTCAAGTTCTAAACCACTCAAGGTCTGGAAGACCTTCAAAGAAATCATATGGAACTTGGCAAAGAAGAAGACTCATAACTAAGTAGATAGCTTTGGTTTAATACTGGAGCAAGATTTGTTAGGTCAGCTGAGATGTCAAATACTGCCTCTGTGACAGGCACAGTCTCATAGTACACTGGATCACAAGATTTCTTTATATGAAAGGTGCCTTTAGAGCACAGACAAAATTAAACTATCATATTCTGTTTCCCTAAAATTCACTCAGTATTGATGGGCATGGAAGCTACTCTCTACCAATAAAAGAGAACTGTATAGATACCCAATTTTCCTTAGAAGGTAGATGACTTTCAGAGGTTCATAAGTCTTAAGAGCCACTAATCTGTTTCTCATTACCACTGCATCAAAGTATATACAACATCTAGCTGTATTTATATGCAACTCCCCTCAGAGTTAAGAGATTTAAAACATCTTTTTCCCCTCTCTTCCAGAAGAGGAATTCAAATAAAGCCCTAGACAGTTTCAACTTTACCAAGAAATTTCATTAGTGTTGTCTATGCAGAGAATAATACACATACAATAACTTCTTGTAATTAATCCTTAAGTTAAATTGAAACTGACTCTTTTGCTCAATGTGTCTTTTGGCATTTAGTCGCAGAATCCACCTTGTTCAGCACATCTGGGCATCTAGAAGAAAGGGCCTCAAAGGAAGTACACTGAGTGAGGCACCCAAGAAGCCAACTCAAAATACAGGTAACAAGACTATGTCCTAAGGCATTGAAAAAGAGCCCCACCAATAGTTCAAGGAGTTAGCTCACCTCTCAGCTATTTACTGTCATCTCAGAAGTTACCACCCCCACAGTAGATTTCGCAGCACACCACCAGATTCTCTGAGCTCCAGATAATCAGCATAACTCTTCTCAGTACTCATAAAGAACTACTGAAGCATTTTCAAATCTTTCAACATGACAAACTGAAGTTCCTTACAGTAAAATCCATACCTGATATAACATATGCCTTCATTAAAGGAACTTTAGGAATTACCTTGATGCAGATCTAGATCTTGACTTTCTGCTGTCAGAAACATGCCGCTTCCCCTCCTGAATAGGTGGCTGTTCCACTTCCATGTCCTAAAATATTAAGTTGACTGGTGTTATGGGTGAGTATTGCAACCATTTTATTTCATTTTATGCCTAGACTAAATTATGTCACAGCACTAAAATTATACTGACTATTCACATGTGAAATTAAAGCGTAATGCAACTCTCCTCAGAAGCTTCACCACTACTTTGTAGTCACTAAGAGGGAGACAGTCCAGTATTAAATAAACTTAATACACCCACTGCAAAAAGGTAATAAAAGTAATTTACACAAAACTGACAAATTGCAAACTATTGTTTTCCCACATTTTAGTCAATTTCAGCATGGCATGTATCTCCACAGAACATGATTACATTCCTTTATGTCAGTCAGTGGATCTTGCTCTGTTATCAAAATCACAGGCAAAATACGATCTAGTAGAAAACTTTTCTCCAAGATGTTACAGGAAACTATGTTAAGCCATATATATAAGCAAATTATACCACAAATTTGAATGAAACAGTAAGTCATTAAAACAATACATAAAATGCAAGAACAGGTTTAAAAAACCCTCAGTAATTTCAATACAGCTCTTCCTTCCTACCCCAAATCCTCTACAGGCTCCCACTCCAGAACATACTGTGTCCTGCCTGAACCTTATATAGTCTTCATAACATGACCCTGGCAGGGAACATCCAAAGAACCAATCTCTCAGAATATACTGATTCAACAGAAGTCAAAACTAAAAAACCAATTACAAAGATACTCTTCAGAATTGTCCCTTGATTCCAAGTGAATAACTGAGTAAGTGAGTAACTTATTTCTAGAATCTGTGACATCACAAGTCACCACGTAAAGACAGTTTGGTACAACCTCTATTTTTAGAATTTCCTTCTCTTAGAACAAAATAGGCAAATATATATTTATTTTTTTTTAATACAGGCTCATAGACAGGCTTGCTCTTTGATTTCTTCTTAATACCAGTCAGTTACCAAACCAACAAAACAATATACATTTCCCCTACATTAGCAATCTACCAGGCCCTTAAAAATTAACTCTTCCAAATCTTTCCCTCAGATGAGCTACCCTCACAGCCATCTCCATTCATGGTTATCATGAAATTTCCTCTCCTGAACAAACTATACACGTTTGAGAATGACCTGTTAGAGCACCGAAGTTAGTTTATTTACTGCAAGGGGTCCTCACCTGCTGATGGGGTTTTTGCATGTGTGATTCACTCTGTACTGGAAAAGGAGACTGAAAAGTTTGCTGCACAGGTGCTGTGGGTGGAATCACAGGCTGAGCCATGGGTGGAAACTGTGGGGTAGGCAGGAGACCAAAACCTGGCATTTGCCCATTAGGAGGAAGAGGAACCTTCGGAGAAATAAAAACACGAAAACAGCCAGTTAGGAAAAAAAAATTACATTAGCTTTCCCAGTTCGCTAAAGCAAAATTGCATCTCTGCTCCAAAGTCACAACAGAAGACTAGAAGCCCAAGAAAGCTGAAGTAGGTCAAGCGTTTAGGTGTATAAAATAAAAATCTTGTTTTTCAACGCTTGCCTAGAACAGAGAACAAAAATATGTTTTTTTGGGAAAGCTGAGAGCTAAGCCATATTCATTCTTCACTAGTAGTAATATTACTTCCTTCCTTCTGCTCAAAGAAAACAACAAAGGATAGAAAACACAGCACAAGAGAGGGACAAGGGAAACCCCTGAAGTTACCTGGTGGCGCATGGGATCCTGCTGTATTCCCATCATTCGCTGCTGAAAAGGATCCATATTTGGAAGTTGAGGAAATACTGGCTGTTGCATACCTTCTGCTGGAAATCCACTAAAACCAGTAATATTTTGGTGAGACAAGTTAGTAGATACACAGATTTTTTTGTCTTTACTTTACATATCTCTATATATTTACACATTCTTGCTTCAAATTTAGAAAGAAAAATCTCTATTATTATCTCATTTCTTCTCTAAGAAGTGAAAACAAAAAAAGGAGAAAGAGCAGCTTCCTTATCTTTTCTCCACTGTAAGAGTAGTCCTTTAAAATTTAAAGAAATGCTACATAAAGGTTTAAGCCTCTTTTCCCCCGTACTTATATGATCTTGCTCAAGATCTCAGGCTATGGAAATTTTTCATGAGGGTTGTCTGTCTTAGGCTAACTTTTTTCCTTTCCAGTTCCTCTTTTGGGAACAAAAGTAGCAAGACTTTTCCTTAAGGAAAAGAAATTGGCCATATTTTTGCTGGAAAAAACCCCCGCAGTTTAGTTTGGGAGGAATTTAGGGCAGAGGAGAAAGGGATATATATATATCTCACACAAGGATTACAGTGATGCCATTCACTTCCTGATTCAACACACAGAATGGACAGTGCTCAGGGAATTAATGAGGTCTGTGCAGTTAATACCTGTTTACAGGATGCAGTTTGTGTAAGAAACTGAACAGGATTTCAGGAAGATAAAGGAATTTCATGCTGATGTGAAATGGAACTTTGTATTTTAAGATACAGGCACCATACAATTTTTAGACGATTCTGAACAGATTAGTTTTTCATACAGAGTATTACTAATTTTGTGTGCTGAAAATGAGACTACTGGAATCCAATCTTCAGAGGCATCTTACAAAACTATAAGGTAATAAGGACACAGGCTCTGAAGTGCTAGAAACAGAACATAAACATGCTGAAAAGGCTAGTCCAAATGATCTCTAGTTGGGCATACACAAGCAGTGCTTATGTTTGACCTACCTCATCTTTCTGTACTCCAGAGTTCCATCTATATTATAGGCAAAATGCTACCAATTTACTTAAAAGGCATTTTAATTAACTAATACTTGTGGAACATTGAAGTGCTCAAGGTGATAAACGCAGTAAGAAAGCTAATGACAAGGTTAGTGATTCTGTTTTTGAGAGCAGGGTTTGGATGGCATATACAGAAAATAAGACATGGGGCCACATACTGAAGCAGGGGAAAAAAGAAATATTGACTAACCCAGGTATTGAGCACCATCCAGCCTGTGCACTGAATGAGAGAGAGGTCCTGTGGAAAAAACTAGTATGTGATCATGTAATTTAAGACTTTATCATAATGCATATCAAAAGGGAAACAGGAGTCGGAGTTAGTTTGCGTGGGTATTTAATATTTGAGAACGTAAAGCTGCAAAGCCAATTTTAATTTTTTAAATAGTTAAAACTACCACAATGTTCGGAATAGCATCTTTTCCCCAGCCAGCAAAGCAATCCAGCCAACTACTAACAATGCCTTGACACAATTAGTTGTGCAATAAAAACACGGAACTCATCTTGAGACCAAAATCAAGCTTTTCTCTACAGAACATATCCCTCAATCAATGATGTAACATGCCAAACCTACACCAAATCACCAAAGATCAAAAAAAAAACCCAAACCCACCAAAAGTTGTTAGCCATGTTTTAACTTTGGACTGCAACAGTTAAGCACTGAAGTAACTTGGAATTTTAATCAGTTTCCTGACCAAAACAGTTTTTAGAACAAAGATTTGTTAATTTTACTATGACAAAAAACTTACAAAGCTGGCTGAGAAACTGCAGGAGGAGGAGCTGAATCTTCTTTCTTTGAATCTTCTACTGCTTCTGGTTCATCATCATAGTCAAACCGATCTAGTAGCTTCTGAAAGAAATTACATTGACATAACTGTTTTTTCTCTATCTTATATAACTGGCAGCCAAAAGATCCTTATGATTGAAATCTTACTGTATATCTAACAGCTCCAGCATTAAAGACAACCAGAAAAAAACAAATCTATATTCTAATACAGAATCAGAAACTGTCCAAATCCATTTTATTCAGCTTCAGAAAATGCAAAAGCTGTAACACACAAAGATGACTTTTAAACAGAAAGAGAAGAAACAAAATTTTTATCCTTTTTCTCCTAACAAACAGAGGACACTGAGGCATCCATTAAACAGTCTTCTGCTGAACTAGAAAAGTTAAACACAAAGAACACAGGAAGACTTACTTTATCAAATGATGTTTTTTGCTCAGGTGGTGGGAAAGCAGCTTTTTGTTCTGGTGGTTGTGCTGCTGTAGTTTTCAACTGAGCAGTAATAGCTTGAACCTGAGCCATCACAGTGTTATCTATGACCGGTGACTGGGGTTTTTGAGGCTGCTGGAAAGTCTGAAGAATTTGCTGAAGCTACAAAAACATACGTAGTATTAAGTATATACTCTTATATAAACACACAGTATTGAAAGAGTTGTAGCATATAAATTTTACATCAAACCAGACTGTGGCACAGGATGAAAAAGCATCAACAATCTGAAGGAACTATGGAGATCTTTCAGCAAGAACAAATGTCACTTTTTAAATACTTCAGTGGCAAAATGGAGCAGATCTCAAGATTTCAGTATTTAGGCCTTTCAACACCGCACATGTAAGTGGACCAAACAACAAAACTCAACATTTTGTTTGACATATTCTGCCTTTTCTTGAAACTTTGTAACTGCATCAATTCAGAACTAATTATTTAGGAATATATAATTGACTTTTACTGGATAGAAGGGTGACAGATCATTCCAATACTGACTTTAACTCTTACAAGTTTTCCACTGAAAACCTTGGGGAGGCTTTTGTTTTGCTTCAAATCAAAAATACTACTTCCATCATTTTCCCCTCCTCATTGAACATAAAAACTGAAGTCAGAAGGGAACCAAATATAAAGAAGTTACCTGTTGTCCTTGCGTTGTTTGAAACAGCTGAGCTACAGCTGCAAAGGCATCAGAACTGGGCAACTGTGGCACAGTAGGTACTGAATTAGCAGTAACTTGAGGGGGCTCCGAAGAAACCTTTGCTGGAGGGGGCGGTGAACCTGAGAGTTTCATAGGAATTGAGACAGCATTACTCCAAAACATTCATTTTACTCTTCAGTGCATACAGCTACCTCCTCAAAACAAGTGCCTATCTACAATGCTCTATTTACCCCCAAAAGTCCTATCTGAACTACCCCAGTTCTATTCATTTTGCCTTTAACTGCTCCATTCACTGCTCACATTTGCACATCATATACACTAAGAAAGTAAACAAAGAAAAATGGCCTATCTGAAAGCTAGTCCAGCATGGTATTTTAGATCACAACTCAATATTTATAACTGTGCAATTTTAGAAAATTAAGAGAAAAACTATTACTCAGTGTTAAGCAATGTGCATCAATACACTTAAAATATTAGTTCTGGTTACCAAGTTCTGGACTCTTTCTTTTGAATGAATGTTTCAAACCATTCATCTTATGGTGCATTTTAAGAGCAACTGAGTTTCTCTTAGTATTTCCTATTTTCTAGCAGTAACTGAACTTTTGCTGAAATGTCTGGTAATAATTAAAGGTTTAAAAAAATTATTTCAGAAGTAACTCTTCTTCTTGGGTAAGGTTTGTTCACATGCTACTTTTGCATAGGCACAAGCCAAACCTGCATCTGACCCGAAAATCCTCCTACAATAAAATAATTTTTACTAATTCTTCCAGGAAAAGACTCCCATTTCGACTGAGCTTTAGTAAAACTGAGATCACACTTTTTAGACACGCTATTAGCTTTTTCTACACATGCAGCTTTCCCAAACTCTTTGCTTTGGATTACAACACTTCTTTTAAATAAACATTTTGCCAGTACAAAGTAAATTAGCAGTAATACCATCAATTCCTGCATGCTGTGAGCAAGTAACTATTCTTTAGCAAATATATTTTAAAGGACTACTACAAAACCGTACAAGGAGAGACAGTTAAAAAACCCTACAGGTAGAAATATTTTTCATGTGAGACTCTAAGCAAATGTTTGCCTCACAATACCAACTTCTTTAAAGCCATTCATCTGTTTGCAGTTTAAATAACTGCAGTGTTGACACACAGCAAGCAGAGACAAACATGTTGAATAATATTTTCCCAGAAGTCAGATGCTACATAAAAATACTGCAAAAAGATATGTGATTGTTTTTAAATATAAATTAACTCCCAAATTACTTCCTGCATATATTCAGAAGGATATTTTCTTGCTCAAGGGAGAAAATTTGCATTTCTCTTTTTTTTTTTGCAAAACAGACTTTGTAACATTATGAACTAAACAGATTCTATTTCACATAATGCATTAATATATTTATTATTATTCATTAGCATATTTATTTCAGGGCCAAATTATCCCCTGTGGTGCATCTCAATAATCTCACTGAAATCAGTAATTCTGTACATGAAAATCTATGCAGAAGGCACCCAACCTGTTAGCTACCAGTGAGGAAACCAAGATGGAAAAATAGCGCCACTCACCTGTCACATCAGACTGAAATTGTATAGTCTCCAGTCTGTGCCCAAGCTGAGAGGCTAAGACATTCCCTTCCCCTGCCCTGCTATGTTTATAAAACATCTTAATAAGCTATGCTTCCCTAAACACCACTGGAGATGATTTCACTTATGCTACTGCACGTAATTGTTTTGTTGTCTATCACACCTCCCTTACTCCATTACATTTTTTACCAGTCCTGCTCCAACACACATACATAAACAAGGAGGTTCCCAAAACCAAAGCTAAGTCTGAAACACAGAGTGCAAACTCAGAAAGAAGGCCCTCCAGAGAAAGACAGGACTGTGGTATGCATATTCTCATCCACAATTCTGTAACCTCACTACCAGCTTTTCATGTGGCACAAAATAGGTCAGTGAAAATACTGTGGGCAGGCTCTCATTGCTTTATTCTTTAGGTCAGTGGTTTTCAACCAGAAGCCCATATAAAAGCCTACTGCCAGGGATAAATGTACTGTTCCAAGAATTTGGATTTGAAACACCAGTTATAATGTTTCGGGCCTGTATACTGAAAGACATTGACAGCTGTTGCTTTCAGATACTGAGTTGATTCAAAGAAAGCTGAAATTCTTAACATGCAAGATCACGCTTTACTTATCCAAATTCTAACATTAAAAAAACGACATTAGAATTATAAAAATGAAAAACTACAGAAAAATATTTCTGACCAAAGAGAAAAAACTTTAAGAGAGGATAGTGAAATTATCAATAAGTGTGCACATATGTATGTAAATGTGCATACACGATATAAATTTTAGACATTTTCCAAATAAGTGTTCACATTCTGATAATTTCTGAAGTATAGTACCAGCAATTATTTAGAAGGAGTTCAGCTGCTGCACATAATGGTGACAACAGAGTTGAGTTTATTGATATGCTATTGTTGAAACTAAGAGTAGGTGCTTTAACGTGAAAGAAAACAAGCTATTATCATTCACCCTCTTAAGAGAAATTATAGTGTCATTCATACCTTCATTATTAGTAGCATTTTCTGTCATTGGTGCAGTGGCACTAGTTCCTGCTGCCATATCCAGAAGAGGTTGAATTATTTCAATTTTAAATACTCCATTTTTCTGCCAAAGGTTCAGGACACGGACTATTTTACTCTGTCAAAACAAAAGCAAGCATGACTGCTTAACACAGCTTTCCTAATTCACAAACTCCAAATTTATCTTCTGTACATTGAGAAGCGAGGTTTGAGCAGTATAGGAGTTTAACATAATCAGGCATACCTATTTAACAACGCTATACTGTCACATACATCAGCGAGACCTTTTACAAGGCAAAGACAAAAACTGCCAACTTATCTTACTATCCGCTTTAATAAAAAGCAACTTGTGCCATTTTTCTAAAACTGTTCTGGCCAGTCAGAAAATCCAGGTTTGATATACAAGAGAGGAAGTCACAGGAGCCCCATTTCTTCACAGATGGTCATAAAGAGGTGAAACAAACAACAAATGCAATGAGAAAGAGAAAATGAAGATGAGGGGAGAGGGGCAATTGGACCATAATGAAGAGAGGGGCAATTGGACCATAAAATGCTAGAACAAAGCTTTTAAGTTAGATAGAAGATTGCTGAATTTTTTTCCAACTAACCCAAGAAATTTATGTTGATACCAGAAAACCCATCTCCGTCATTATAGAAAAGATCAGGAAAGCAAGCGGAAAACATTCTAACTGATCACTGCAGAAAGATTAAAATTAGAACCTCTGATTGTCAGCTGTTATTTTAAGCTCGTTTCTTTTTTTAACATTAAGAACAATGAAGCTTTCAGAAACAACCTGGAAATTAGTGTCTCCTTCTTTAGCCCAGTATTAAACAATAATATCTAACTGGATGTGCTCTTTCAGTTGGAATATGCAAGCAGGTGAAAGTCAGAATACATGTTATATTGACATACCCGTCCTTTTCATATACTTAGTCATCTGACTTGCACATACACATTTTAAGTACTTTTGACTTCTACTGTAGCTGCTAAGAATGAATAGGCTCTGATCCTTCTTGTTTCAACAATAAAATGCCTTACTGTGACTCAATTATGTACACCCATGCAAATCCATCTATACTTTCATAAGCTAAGTGACTGAAGAATTTCATAAAATGTTTTTTAAAATAAGATCAATTTGAGAGAAATCTGAAACGGCTATTTTTAAATAAGATTTTGGTCTGAAAAACAGGTAACTTTAAAACAGCAGCAATTTTTGGCTTTGGGTATTCTCTCTCTCCAGAAGACTTGAAAAATAATATGAAGGCCAACAAATGAATAAATTTAATACTCTTGTTTTCAGTCGCATATTGATCTTACAGAAAGGCTTTAAAAGAAAAAAAAAAAAAAAAAGAGTATCACTTTCTTTGGATATCAACCATAGTTACTGTGTATCTGCAGATTAGTTTTTCTGTTTAGGTACTGGAAATTCATTAAAGCAACCATGTCATAAATAGTATTATTCCCCCAGTGGAAAGCATCTTAATTATTTTAGCAGTGAGTTATCAGGTAGTTCCACAAAGGAGATTGGATAGTCTAATTCATTTAGATGAATTAAACGGTAACCACAATGGTAGAAGCAAGAAGAAACTGCTCTATTGCACCAGGGTGTTAACCCAGAAGCTCCAGAATATCACTCAAGGCCTAAAGGTCTAAATGTTCCACATGAGAAAACTACCAAGCACCAAGTCTTTCAGAAGCTTAGTTCAAAAGTTAGGGGAAAAGTCAGTTAGAAAAAAGAGTGGTTTGCTCTTAAAGTACTATAATTAATAAAAGGAGCAAGCAGGCAATTTTCTAGAAACCAATGGGCAACTTTTATAACACATTTATCTTGGGAGTCTTGAAATTGTTCTGACAGAGGGCATAAAAGACATCTTCTGTTGGTAGTGACCTTGACCATCGTGAATTCAGGATGCTTTCTGAGCCTCTGTTTTATCAGCAAATACAGCAAAACCAAGAAAATCAGGGAGTTAAACAATTCTTGACAATAGGGAGCAGCAATGAAATTCCCAAGTACGGGATTTGTAAAGACTGACAAAAATCAACACGATGACTTTCTTGGAAAATATTTGGGAGCAGAACCTTCACTGCCTACAAAACCGGAGCTGCTCCTTTAACACTTTCTTTTTGTGGGAGACTCCACCTTCCATAGTAGGTTTTCCTGGAGAAGCCTTAAGAAGAGACGTTTTGGCATAGTCACACACATTGTTGAAGTGTTTATATAGGCAAAATACGTATTTTAACTAGAACTTTCATTAAACTACTACTTTTGATAATCTTTTTCAGCATGTTTTACCATTTCATACTGTAACATTCACTACCACAGGCACAGAAAATCACAAAATTTTCACGTAAGGGGAAACACCAAGGTAGCACTGTTATCAATTCACAACAACACTTGAGAAATTATAGCTGTACCTTGTCTTCAGATGGACAGAGATACAAATACTGGAATGTGGCAGTAATATTTTTAGAGAATCTTGGCCCAAAAACATCTTTATCAGTTCCAAACTGGTGACGAGACTGACGAACAATAGAGTCAATAACATACAATCCAGGGACTTTATATTCCGGTTTGCACTGAAAACATAAAAATAATTTTCCATTATGCAGTGATACTAACAAGGTAACATGCATTCACCTTAGATCCTTACACAAAATCTATACTTAGTATATTCAGGTAGAAAAAAAAATGTTAATTTGTTTTGTTTTATGCAGAATTCTTTTAGTACTTGACATTTATTCTGTTTATAGAAATAGGAAAGAAAAACATGCTTTCACATTTGGGACAGAGTAAATATACCTGGACAGCCTGAAGCTGCCAATCTCTTCTCAATCACTGCTCGTAAAGCACCTTTATGTTGACAACATGTGACCACAACAACAGGTCTGCTACAGTATAGTGTCACTCTGCTATCAAGCTACCTCACGCTCAATGCACTGAACTACTTCCACCACCTCTATTCTCCAGAATTTCATTTGAAGTCCTTCTCTTAGGAGGTCTTTGAAGGTCTTAGAATGAAAAAGAGTAGTTTTCCTGTTCACTCAGAGGAACTTAACTTCAGCCAGCACGATAGTTGGACTTAGTGAGTATTACGTTCTAATCTGTTGTTCTACATGCCCAGGCAAGCATGAAAACTGTATTTTCTGAAAATATGTATTATCTCAGCCAGTGAAAATTAATTTGGACTTCAATAACTCCAGTTTCCTCCCCAGTTGCTGGGTAGAGTTAAAAGGGTAATGTCACAATTTTTTTTTCCTCCCCTTCTTAATGAACTACAGAAAATGGAATCAAGGGGATTATGAAGACAGAGACACCAAAATATATAAAATACTAACAAAACGGAATTTCCTCCCTCAGTCCTTGAATAACAGAAGCCTTTTTGGTTATTTACTAGCATTATTAATAATACCTAGTAACAGATGCAAACAATATCTTTCTTAGTAATTATTTTTTACCTTTTTGATAAACTTCTCTACAATCTGGACAACATGCTTGTAGAGCTGGAAAACAAATGCATAAATTAATTTATCATCTACTCAACAGCAGCACATAATTTTAGAAGTCTTTTAAATTCTTTGTGCTTACTACCACTTAGGAAAGACTACAATCAAAATATTGTACTCACATTCTAAAAAGAATCAAAAAGTTGATCAAGCACAGAGAAAAAGATTTCATGGGGGGAGCAGACAGAAACAAGCCATCCTCTATGTCAGACGTGTGACAGTATGTACACAAAAGACATACTGCTTCTAGAAAATGACTGAGAGCTTTCTGGATTTACTTTCTAAGGAAGTCCACTAATGTTTTAAAATGCTACGGTACAGTTGCATCCTGCAACATTTAAAATTTTATTACATAGAAATCACTACACCCAAGTGGGTACAGCATTAAAAAGCAATGATTCAAAAAAATAAAGCTGGTATTATGCTACTAGTCTAAAACCAAGAGATGATATTCACCACCCACTTGTTTCTAGATAACATTCTTAACTCCAGCTAGAATAAAACACCCATGAAGCCAAGACTGGGAAATCCAGAGATGAATTTACTTGGAAGTAAAATAATAAAACATCATTACTGTTAAGAGTTTCCTGTTTCTTCTATTGTACTTTACCTTAATAGCTTTAATGGCAGCTTTTGTGATGAGAATCATTTTTGCTCGGGAAATAGGAGGTTTCATCTCCATCAGTGAAAAGAGCTAAACAGAGAAAACAAATATTAAAAATGTATTCTGAAATTTAAGCAGTTAACCAAAAAGACAACATTTCAAACAACTGATTGATTAATGACATTGCACACTATGTGTTGCCACAATGCTGGCTGCCCTTGAAACAAAGAGACTAACAAGCAGATCTTTCTAGGCAATGTTCAAAGTTATATTCCTTGTGAACTAACCTGTATTCACTGATTTACTAAATTTTGATAAGCCTGCTGTCAAAGTTCCATTTGTGTCTAAAAATGAGTATCTGCTAACTGATGGTACAGGCACTGCTAACTTACGGTATGGGAACCTGCTATTTTACAAAAATAATATAAAATGGAAATAACTTGATTTAAATTAGCCTGAACATCTGCTTACCAAATAGAAATATTAGAATGGTCCTACAGATAGCTAGACTGACATAATCCTATCATCTTAAAATAATGTGCATAGAAGTACAACATCTTTCATCCATCAAGGTGATCAAATCAATACTAAGTTTTCAAATTATCCTGCTATATACGGGCATTGCAAAATTCTTTAATGGAGATGTTTACCATTTTGTTTGCTATGACCATACCGTATTATTATTAAAATTAACTGCACCAACTGTTTCGGAGAATCCCCTTCACTATTCTCCATACTAACATCACCCAGTGCAAAAAGTTTATTTCTAACAGACAGTTTTCAGAAGTTACTCCATCTTTATAGATGAGACTGAGGCATTCTGTCAAGCTGACTTAAGAATAATCCTGATCCCATTTCTATAAACATAGACTAGGCACACTATTTCAAAGGCTTTTAATCAGAAGTTAAGAATACTATTCTGTTAAGGCCATTAAGAACAAAAATGGATTCTGTAGCACTAGATTTAAATACTCTTTTTTTTTTTTTTTTTTTTTTTTTTTAAAGTCTGAATTCAGAGAAAGCATATTCGATACTCAAAACACATAGGGTACAGGTAGGATATTCAGCTCTTCAAATCTGACAGTGTGTCTCTAAGCAAAAAACCCTCAAACTTCATTTTCACAAATAGCAGCACCATGACTTACAACTCACATCTGAGGAAATTTATTACAAAACACTTTCAAAAAGTCTCGAATCTAAGCATTCAGAAAAGATACCCCTCTGTCTTCCAGTATTGACTATAACTCTGAAAAAAAATTAGCTTCACATTTCCGAAACTGAGAGAAACTAAAAGTTGCCCATAGAACTGTCAGAGCTGATGAAACATCCGTGAAGGGCTGAACACAGAAAGCTGAGAGAAGAGGGATGCATTCTCCCCATGTCCCCAGCACCACCTGAACAGAGTGACATTATTAATGTACTTCGCTTCCTGTAGAGCACTTTAAGAGAATTGAGAGGTAAGAGATTTGGGGAGGTCTGTTTTTAAATAACAGTCCTACAGTCAGGCACTCATAAGCAGGCATGCACACACACAAGATTATACCAAAATACAATGCACGCTTCACCACTTTTCAGACCACTCTACCTACAGTGAATTCCATATACTCCATCAGCTGTTGTTGTAACTTCACATCGTAAAATAACCAGTTGCAAAAACTGCACCGTATGCTACACTATGACATACTGTGCAGGCTTCTGCTCTACTAGTCATTAGATGAGGAAGCATGATCCATGTTGTGGCTTGTCAGGACTGTTCTCTCTTCTCCAACTTCCTTGCCATTTTTCAAGCAGAAAGAGAAACCAGGACATTCCAGCACTAGTTTTTAATTCCTCCTTCATGTCACAGCTCATGGGTATGTGCTCTGCTTTATCAAAGATTATTTTCTACCCGTGAACTTAACTTCCTATTTAAGATGTGGCTTATTAAAGGCAGAATCATTATATTGTCGTGATTTGTATAGTGCAAAAAAAGGTGGAGATCTTCAACATTTCCTACACACACATAATAATTTTTACCTTGAAACATTCCCCACAAATCATGGAAAAAATGGTTTGGCATTACATAATGTAATTTTGCTCTTCACCATAAAGAAAAAATAGAGCCCTTGAATACTAGCCAAAAACGTAAACAATTATTTGCCACAAATCAAAATAAGAGAATAAAATTATCTTCATTTCACAGTGTAATGGAAAGTAAGATGTCATTTTAAAAATTTATCTCTTATTTTCCTATTAAAGTACTTGTGAAGCGACTAACTTACACAGATACCAAGATACTTGTGAAGTGACTAACGCAGATTTATCCACTGTCTCAGTTAAGGAAAAAAAACAATGCAGAAGATAAAAAAAGTTGGCCAAATATTTAAAGGCAAATAAAGTGATAACAAGACTTCAAGCAATATAAAATGAAAGCCTTACATCAATAAAATACAAAGAGTAGGCAAGAAGGTGTTTACTTTCTCTATTCGATTCCTATTCCAGGAGATATGAAAGAAGGGAAATTGTCCTGCAGGACAGTGGTAGCCAGACAGACTTTCCAACACCAACATCAAGTCAAGACCATGACTTTCCTTTACTCATCTCCATATAAGGCAAGTTCTATTGCCAGAATGTTTGATTTTTGAAGCCATTCAAGCTGTAACACATACTTCAGCTAACATCTCTGCTTGCTGAGAAATCACAGTACAGACAAATGAAAACTGTCAGATAAAAGACAAAAGGAGAGAGGTGTCTGCGAGTTGGGTTGTTTTACAAAAACGTTTAATTTCAATTTTGAATTGTATTTCTTTGGAATAAGTGCAGACTCTTGACGAATAAAGTTGGTGCTATTATTAAAACTCAGGAAAACCTGTTTTAAGTGGTAATGAAAGAAAAAAAAAATAAAAATTCCCAAAACCCAACACCAACAAACAAACCACCAGAAGGCTTGAAAAATGAGAAGGAGGAGGAAAACAGGAGCCAACATTATGACAGGCACTCCATATCCTTTCCTGTACATACGAAGAAGCAACTGGTCCTCCAGAAAAAAGGAGCCAGTCCCATATAACGGGAACAAAGAAGCCAGTGTGAAAGCAGCACTTCAGCATTCCTATTTCAGGAACGCAACCAGAAAGAACCAGGAAACTGGGAGAGCTCATAGCAGGACAGAAGATGACAATACACAAGTGGCAGCAAAAAATAAAAAGAAGTGTCCTAAAAGGTAACCCAAGAATATCGTTGCAACTGGGGGGAAAGGAAAAAAGAAAGAAAAAACAAACAGAGGAGAAAGAAACTGCCAAAGGGTAGGAAAAAGGAAATCAGCTAGACACACTCAAGTAGCCAGGGAGGATGCAATAAAGAATATGGTAGCTTGGAGAAGTCATTAATTAAGGAACACAAGAGGCTGAAACTAAGGCTAATAAGGGAGGAATAAACAAGAGCTTTGGAAGAACAGGACTGAGGAGATCACTGTAAATTGTTCCTTTGCTGTTACAGAGAACACTCTGGACAATACCAACAAAAACATAGTAAAAGCAAAGACGTCAGTACACACAGATATTTCCAGATCAGGATGAACTATAGCTGAAATATGCAAATTGAGATGCAAATATTTTTATATATAAATATATATGCACACATACATATATACACACACATAGGGATATGCATATATATACACGTGTATATGTGTATATATATATATATATATATATGTGTGTGTATTCTGCCCTCTCTTCACACACACCCCCATCACTATTTCTTGGAATAGCACATCAAAACTTTGTTGCCTTTTTAGATTTTAGAATAGCAAATCACTATTTTAAAGCTGATTTTTATTTAATTTTCAGTATCACAGTTACATGTGTCAAACCATGTTTTAAAGACGGGTAAAACTTAAGTTTAACAACCTTACTAGTTCCTCATGGATTTTCACTTTTAGAAAGGGAAACTGCAACAAGAGGCCTATGGACCTTACATTTGCGTATGTTCAATCAGACCCAGATCTTCCTTCATATACATTTCCCAACCAAATATATGAAAAAAACACAACCCTATTTTCAGAAGACCATCCTTCCAATAACAGACCTAATTCCTCAAAGGGCAACATGATCAGCTGAAGAAACAACCTAGACAGAAAAACTTACACTTTATTTAAAAAAATAAATTTGATGGATGTAACAAAGGCAACAATAATCTGCAGCTTGAGAGTGTTTCCAATGTCCTGCCTCACAACAGGAGCCTGTCCCTGGAATGCCCTGCCCTGTAAAGCGTGGCCTGCTAGATATGACTTGCTGCTTTTACCAACCATAACTGGATGCTTGGAGAAAAACAAAACCAAACCCTACCTTCCTTCCCTATATAGTGACACCACTGACTTAAAAAAAAAAAAAAAAAAAAAGCAGGAGTTTAGCTCTGCCTCTATTTCTACTGCCCACTGTCCCCAATCCATTCACTTGGCAATGAAAATCACCTGGGGTATCCCATTCACTAGGATGGGGAGTGTACCACAGCAGGGGAAAAGAAATGAAGTGGAACTTTATTTTTACATAAGAACTAATTAATCCAAGGACTATTCAAGACTTGTACCTTTATTCAGTTTTGATAATTTCAATATATTAAGAAGAATTGTCTCCTGCTGTCTGCATAGATTCTTTCCTACACAAGGAAAATCTAACAGAAAAACTAGTAGAAAGGCTTAGCCACAAAATGTTCACAAAATCATTAAGGCAAATGTCGTAAGAAAAACTTCACAATTTCAGTTATAATCGTCTCACCTGTTGGAAGTAGTATGAAAAAACCCACACTTTTGTTTTACACAAGTTCTAGCTTAGGATGTAATTTCAATTTAAAAATTTCCAAACATTTCTGGAACCTCACTCCTTACATTTGAAAGTCTGTGTGCTGTAGCCGCACGTTTTCAAAAGCACCGTGTTTTTAAAGGAATAATTTCTTTGTTGCTCCATACCAACCCATGTACTACAAAAGTGGAGGTATTAAAAAGCCTACTAAACTCAAGCCACAATACAATATTAAAAAGCCTACTAAACTCAAGCCACAATCAATCTTGAATCAAATATATTGATTCAAGAGTATTTCTGCATACTTTTTGTAACAGTATGGAACTACTGTTGGGATGGGATAAAATACCTACAAAGCCAAGACCCTCACAGGCAGAATCACCTGCTCATTTTCAGGCTAATAAATACAATTAAATAACAAAGATGAGGCATTCATTAAACTGTAGCTGACAGCAAAAGGGACACTGACCATATTATCTGCTATTTAAAAAGCATGCTACTAACCACCCCCAAATTAAAATTCAAGGTACAGAAGTACTATAGCAAACACGTGGCAGGAGTGAACTAAAGCCTTCCCACTCAAACTGTAGAACCTGCTCCAGTTCATAAGCTCTGGGTGAGATATACTAGAAGGTGTGAGTAACAGAAGAAGGACTAGGACGGTAGCCATTAGTTTTCAGTCTGTCAAGCAGCAAATTTTAAATTTCTGTCATTCTACAATTAATGCCCTTTAAGGATCTATTTTACATAGAAACCTGGGAACTACTGGGTTTTGAAGCAAAGGGGAGAATCTCTATTTTCAAATTTAAAAAAAAAAAAAAAAAAAAAAAGCAGGAGTTTAGCTCTGCCTCTATTTCTACTGCCCACTGTCCCCAATCCATTCACTTGGCAATGAAAATCACCTGGGGTATCCCATTCACTAGGATGGGGAGTGTACCACAGCAGGGGAAAAGAAATGAAGTGGAACTTTATTTTTACATAAGAACTAATTAATCCAAGGACTATTCAAGACTTGTACCTTTATTCAGTTTTGATAATTTCAATATATTAAGAAGAATTGTCTCCTGCTGTCTGCATAGATTCTTTCCTACACAAGGAAAATCTAACAGAAAAACTAGTAGAAAGGCTTAGCCACAAAATGTTCACAAAATCATTAAGGCAAATGTCGTAAGAAAAACTTCACAATTTCAGTTATAATCGTCTCACCTGTTGGAAGTAGTATGAAAAAACCCACACTTTTGTTTTACACAAGTTCTAGCTTAGGATGTAATTTCAATTTAAAAATTTCCAAACATTTCTGGAACCTCACTCCTTACATTTGAAAGTCTGTGTGCTGTAGCCGCACGTTTTCAAAAGCACCGTGTTTTTAAAGGAATAATTTCTTTGTTGCTCCATACCAACCCATGTACTACAAAAGTGGAGGTATTAAAAAGCCTACTAAACTCAAGCCACAATACAATAAATATATTGATTCAAGAGTATTTCTGCATACTTTTTGTAACAGTATGGAACTACTGTTGGGATGGGATAAAATACCTACAAAGCCAAGACCCTCACAGGCAGAATCACCTGCTCATTTTCAGGCTAATAAATACAATTAAATAACAAAGATGAGGCATTCATTAAACTGTAGCTGACAGCAAAAGGGACACTGACCATATTATCTGCTATTTAAAAAGCATGCTACTAACCACCCCCAAATTAAAATTCAAGGTACAGAAGTACTATAGCAAACACGTGGCAGGAGTGAACTAAAGCCTTCCCACTCAAACTGTAGAACCTGCTCCAGTTCATAAGCTCTGGGTGAGATATACTAGAAGGTGTGAGTAACAGAAGAAGGACTAGG